TGCGAGGGGCCCAAGCACTCGGGGCATCTCCTGCTGCCTTCCCCGGGCACATTAGCAGGAAGCTGGATCACAAGTGGAGCAGCCAGGATATAAACTAGAGCCCATAAGGATGCTGGTATCACAGGCAGTGGCCTAATCCTCTATGCCACAACACCAGCCCAGTAGAATTTTTCTTAAGAGATTTGAAGGCAGGGTTTAGCCTGATGCAGCAGATTAAATGATGTTTCAGAGACCTGCATCCCACATTCTAGCACTGTTTCAAGCTCTGGCTACTCCTCTTTTATCCAGCTCCCTGCTAATACATCTGAAAAAGCAACAGAAGATGGCCCAAGTACTTGGGACTCTGTACCCATGTGGGAGACCCTGATGGAGTTCCTGTCTCCTGGCTTTGGCCTGGCCCAGCCCTAGCTGTTATGGCCATTTGGAGAATAAGCCAGTGGATGGAAGATATTCTCAATCTCTCTCTCTCTCTCTCTCTCTCTCTCTCTCTCTCTCTTTCACTGTCTTTCTGTGTGTATGTCTCTCTGCCCTTCAAAATACAATAAGTGTTTAAAAAGAAGAGACTTACTGAGAAAATGGTCTATATCCAAGATCTTAAGTGGACTTAAATTTTTAGCAATATTTTCATTTTTTTCCCTGTATGTTAATGTTGTCAAATTTTCTCACTTAATCTTAGATCAGTGTTGTTCATTTATGCCTTTATATTTCTAAGTATGTATACATGGATTTTTAAAAAATGTAATTCTCTATTAAAAAACCCTCTGCCTCTCATTCTCTGTCTTCTCTATTTTTAACGTTGTGCAGGTGTGCTCGCTTTCTCTGCTTGTATTTCCTATCTTACATTTTGACTTCTGCGTGGAATTTTCCAGGCAGGAGGGTTGACACTTCTCCACCCTGCCTTTATCAGCTTCTAGCCTGTTGTGATGCATCACAGTTTACCTGCTCCCGGCTACGTCGATGTGAAGATAATGTTCTGGCTTTAACAAAACTCATTCCTCCCAACCCTAACCCTGCTGTTTCATGGGGTGCAAGGCAGGAAACTGCATCAATGCAGCCACAGAGAGAACAGGGGCTGCTGGGGGAGTAAAAGGGAGCAGGAGTAGTCAGGGGTTACACCAGGTGTGAAAGCCTTCCATTATCTCTGTTCAGGTAAGGACACACCGCAAGTAAGGTGTGTCCAGAAGGGCCATTGGCAGCAGATAGAAAGCCGGTGGGCTCTTCTGCCCCTGGTAGAGAGCAGAGGGTTGCCCTTCCTGGAAGACAGCTGGGTGTCTCCAGCAAGGGTTTCAAAGATTCCTCAGCTTCAGAGAGACACATTGTTTTCCCATACAGAAGGAAGGTCCAGGGTCAGCGAAATGGTGCAGTGGCTAAGCCTCAGCCTGTGACACAGAGGCACAGGGTTGAGTCCTGCCGGCTCCACTTCTGATTCACCTTCCAGCTAATGCACCTGGGAAAGCGGCAAAAATGTCCCAAGTGCTTGGGCCCCTATACCCATGTGGGAGGCCTGGATGGAGCTCCAGGCTCCTGACTTCAGCCTGGCCCAGCCCTGGCTGTTGTGCCATTTGTGTAGTGACCCAATGGCTGGAAGATCTCTTTCTGTCTCTCCCTGTCTGTAACGCTGCATTTCAAATAAATAAATAAAATAAAATAAATAAGTAAATAAATAAATCTTTTTCTTTAAAAGTAAGATATCCCAAAATCGATGACTTCCTTTCATCCAAGCAGGTATTTTTAAAGAAACAAACACATTTAATCTGTCTGTTTAAGGCAAAGGTAATCATTTAACAAGTGAGAAACTGCTTTCTGACAAAAAGCTGTGCTAAGGAAGAGTGCATTTTGGAAACAGATGTCTGAAATGTTTCATTGTTACATGATTTTTCATTTTAAAAACTGTTCCAAAGAACACTGTTATTTTTGAGCTTATTTAGCTTAAAAAAAATCAAAACACATTATCTTCCAATTACTTATCAATCACTGATTGACAACTGGGATATGGAAATTTGCTAACAGAATTTCAGCACAAAAGCCTTTGCATGGTGAGCTCAGAATGTGCACCCAGCCACACGTCTCTCCCCTGCGTGCGGGCTGCAGGGGTTTCTGGGGTCTTGCTGGATACAAAGAGGCACTAAAGCTACATTCTGACCTCTCCTGGGGTTGGACCTGGCTTTCAGAGTGGTGTCATGAGGTTTGTAAAATGCAGCACAGAACTGGGCCCCACTGCTGTCTCATGGCTGTTCTCACCAAAAGGCAAGGTCAGGGACAAGTGACCCGGGCAGGGAGGGGTCTGAGCTTGGCCTTCTGTTGTCTTTCCTTGGCCCTCCCCCTGGCTGCTCCTTGGACAGTTTGAAGACTAAGACTTGAGAGCTTCATTTCTTTAACTCTTCTATTTTGTCTTTTACAGACGTTAAGTGGTGCAGAATGTAACAGAATGTAATGTCACATTTTTGAAAGTCTCTTTTATTCCCAACAGATTTTGCTTCATTCTATTTGAGGCTATGTTATTTGGTGTATAAACTTTCTTCCTGACTATCAGCACATCCTTATAGAATGTACTGCCACCAAAGGCAGGATAATTGTCTTCATTCAGGTTTCCCATTTGTGTTGCCTCGGAATGTACATTGGTGGCAATCGAGCAGGTTGGGAATTTATGTCTGGATTCATGCTGGTGTAGAAATAGAAGCATCACACCTCTGATCCTGCTGGCTGGGGGACCCCGGGGCCAGTCCTAGCCTTTCTGTGTCACTTTGTTGTACAGTTTTGAAAACAGCTTGAAACTACACTTTCGAGGCAGAGAGCAAGTGGTCTTCTTGGTTTAGGATGGTAATTTAGTGATTTATACTTGTCAGGTTCATTCAACCTAATTTTTTTCATTTTGTTTTTGCTTTGCCAAAAGTCTTCCCACTATTTCTTTGCTACATGTACTGTCTTATTTCATTCTGTCTTTCCCTTGTCATGATTTACAGATTCAAAATGCCTTTTGAATTCTACAACTGAAAGGATTTAAGTGAAAATGCCTCATTGGGAGGTAGGCCTTGTAGTGCGGCTGGTTTGGCTGCTCCCTGGGAAGCCTGCATCTCATATGGTAGTGCCTGGGATCCAGTCTGACCTCTGCTTTCCTTTTGGCTTCCTGCTAATATGAGTAGGGGGGCCACAGAGGATGGTCCAAATACTTGAGTCCTGGCTCCTGACTTCGTCCTGGCCCAGCTCTGACTGTTACAGGCATTTAGGGAGTGAGCCAATAAATGGAAATCAATCTCTCTCTCCCTCTCTCTCACTCTTCCTCTCTCTCTGTCACTTTAATTAAATAAATAAAAACTTAAAAAAAAAAACCCTTACTATAGTTTCCTTTAATCATCAGCATGAAAAATTAAATATAAGAACACACATTTTCTTTCCCTTAAGTTTCATATTCTTCAAAAAAATTTTATGATATCATGTTTTATTCATTTTTACCTCCTGGTTTTTTTCTCAAGATTTATTTATTTATTTGAAAGAGTAAAAGAGAAGCAGAGGCAGAGAGAATGAGAGAGAGGTCTTCTATTCACTGGTTCACTCCTGAAATGGCTGGAGCTTAGCTATCTGAAGCCAGGAGCCAGGAGCTTCTTCTGGGTCTCCCACACAGGTGCAGGAGCCCAAGCACTTGGGACATTTTCTGCTGCTTTCCCAGGTCACAGCAGAGAGCTAGATTGGAAGAGGGGCAGCCAAGTCTTGAACCTGCACCCATATGGGATGCTGGCACTGCAGGCAGCAGCTTTACCCTCTACACCATAGCACCATCCCCCATCCTGTTTAATAATAGATTTTGGTATTTCTTAGAACCATATTTACAACAAGTTTTTGAAGATTTATTTATTTGAAAGGGAGAGAGAGAGAGAGAGAGCAAGCAAGCTCCCTTCTGCTGGGTCATTCCCCAAATGGCTGCACAGTCAGGAATGAGCCCGGCTGAAGCCAGGAGCCTGGAGCACCGTTGGATCTCCCATGTGGTCTGCAGGGACCCAAACATTTAAGCCATCTTCTGCTGTCTTCTTAGGTGCCCTGGCAGGGTGCTGGATCAGAAGCGGAGCAGCCAGGACTCAAAGCAACACTCTGATATGGGATGCTGACGTCACAAGTGGTGACTTGTCCCACAGCGCCACAACTCTGAGCTCTACAACAAATATTTAGACCAATCTGTACTTACAGAATCTCATTATTCACTACCACATTTCCTGGTTTCCTTTGTCTCTGGATCAGCTCCAGTGCATTTAAGTCTGGTGTTCTGCCAGGGAGACACTGGTCATCCAGGGAAAGTCTGCATTTCCCCTCCTCCCACCCCCACTTCCACTCCCACCCCATGCTGTTTGTCCCCTGATTCATGCATACAGGATTCTCTTTATTCTTGTTAATGTTTAGACTTGCCAGAAGAGTTCCTTGTTGCTCCTTTTCATGAATATTGTTTGCCTGTTGGAGAGCACTCTGTCTCTCTGATGACTGCTTATCTGCCCTGTGCCCCCACCCCTCAGGTGCAGTGCCCCCAACCCTGTGCCCTTCATTCCACAGCCATCAGCAGTTGCTGTGTGTTTATAGCTTTGTTCTTCTCAGCATTGAGAGACAAGCTCTTGAGCTTTTCTTCCTCCTCACTGATTTTCTCCTCTGCAATTTGTTAACACTTTTCTTCTCTTAACCAGGTCCCTGTCCCTGTGTCTCTTGGTTTGCAGACCCTGTGTTTCTCTTAATTTAAGTGAGAAGCTGAAGCCTGCAGTTTATGAATATATTTTTCCTGCTACCCTTGAAGTAACACCTTGACAGTAGAGACTCTGTTTTTGAGCACCCGAGACTCCATCTTCAGAAAGCACCCCCTCCACTGTGATATTCTGGTCTGAAACTATTATCTAAAACTAGACAATGACAGTACTCAGGCAATAACAGTTCACTGCATCCCACTTGGCAGAGCATAGAAACTCCCTAGTATGATTGCTTAAGCTTAAAACAAATAGGATGCACCTGGATTAATGTTAACATTGTAATTTGTCTGTTGTCAAGGTTGTAATTGATACTTCCCAAAGGCCTTAGGTCAGCTTGACCCTAGTAACCATGCATTCCCCCTCCCCCAACCTTGTGGTTTTTGCCTTTATAAACCCTGTTTCTTTGAGCTTTGGGGTCAAGAGTTCTTTGGGGCATGATCTCGGGCAATAAAGGACTCCAAAGTTGATCAGTGTGTGATGCTCCTGTGTTTGCAATCACTCAGGTGGGACAACCTGCACACCGATGCTTCCTTCTCTCTTTGGGTGGCCGTGTTTCTTGCTTGCCTCTCTTCAGAAGCTGAGGCTCCAGGTGCTCCTTCCTTCCGCACCCCAGAAGCCATGCTCATCATCTGCTGGATCCTTTAAGCCCATCCCATGTCTATTGCTGCCGTCTTGTAGCACAGGTGGACAGTTGAACACCAGACCCACTGAGACCTCTGGCTTACATGGCTGGGAATCAGCATCGCTGGATTCAGTTGCATGGGGAAAGGAAGCCTGCTGCTCCTTGTCTCAGTGTGACTGCCCCTCCAGCCTGCACAGCCAGCACAGCCAACACAGGGTGCAGTGAGGGTGCGTGGGAGAGGGCATGGCCCTTCCTCTTCCTCTGGCTGGTGGACAGTCTCTGCCCATCAGATGCCCTGAGTTATCATCTCACTCCCTGCATCTTTAGGAACTGGCTAGTAAACAGGTGGAGAGCCTCAGACGTCTGGAGCTGCCTGTTGGCATAATCTGTTCGGCATTGCAGAGAGGAATGGTAAGCATTACAAGAGCCTAATACGGCTGCCTCAGGGGAGAGCTTGCAAAGAGCCTCCTAGTGCCATGTGGAAGCTGTAGTTACTTAGGCACTGACTCAGGTAATAACCTGGAAAAAAATGAAGTTGAATTTCTACCTCTCTCTTTAAACCAAAAAAAAAAAAAATTCTCGATATATTGAATACTAAAATCTTTTACAAATGAAAAAATCAAAGAACCAAAAGTAAACATGAAGACACCTTTTCAATCTTAAAGTAGAAAAGGCATTTGAAAGGATTTCACAGAATCCAGCAGTCATAAAGAGAAAAGATGGATAAATGTGACTGATAAATGATTTTTTCATGGATAAAGGTACCATTAACAAAGTGTCTCAGTCTGTTTGTTGTTGCTATTAAAAAATTCCTGAAGCTGAGAAATGTATAATGAGAAGTTTTTTGGCTCGTCGTGTTGGAAGCTGAAAGGGCAGGATCAGGTGGCCCCATCTGTTCAGCCTCTGGTGTGGGGCTCACGGCAGATGGCATCAGAGTGGTGGCAGCAGGTGCAGAAGAGAGACCCAGCCAGCTGGGAAGACTGAGGGATTCAAGGCCCTGGCTTGCTCTCTTGATAACAAGCCCTCTCTGGGGAACTAACCAGGTGCCACCAGAACTACATTCCTCACTTCTGAGGGTGAGGCTCCCAGTGATGTGATGACCTTGCACTGGGACCCCCATAGATAAAAGTTCCACTGCCTGGCAGTGTGATCCCATTGGAGAGGAACTTCCGGCTTGTGAATGCTTTTTGTAAAAAAAAAAAAAAATTGTTTATTTGAAAGGCAGAATGACAGAGAGAGGGAGAGATAGAGATGTTCTAACTGCTGTTTCATGCTCCAAACAGCTGTAAACAGCAGGGGCCCAGAACTCCATTTTGGTTTCCTATGTGGGTGGAAAGAGCCCAAGGATTTGGGCTACCTTCCATTGCTTTCTCAGGCACATTAACAGGGAGTTGGACCTGAAGTAGAGCAGCCAGGACTTGAACCAGGCACTTTGCTAGGGGATGTGTGTTTCCCAAGTGGTGACATAAGTACTGTGCCCAAAGCCTGCTCCATTCACTCTGCCTTAGAAGTTTCAATTATGGGAATTTGTCCTAGGCATATCCCCATGAAAAGCATAACATCATTTACTACAGCCCTGGTTACTCTAGTAAAAGAATTCAAGCTATGTAAAAGTTCGTCCATTGGGATCTTATCAAGTAAAATACAGTAAAGAAAATAATACACAGAAATACCAAGGAGTCACTTCTTTTATTTTTTAAAGATTTACTTACTTATTTGAGAGGCAGAGTTATAGAGAGGGAGAGACAAAGAGAGAGAGGTCTCCCATCTGTTCATTCACTGCATGGTCGAAACAGCTGGAGCTGCGCTGATCCAATGCCAGGAGCCAGGAGCTTCTTCCCAGTCTCCTCTGTGGGTGCAGGGGCCCAAGGACTTGGGCCATCTTCTACTGCTTTCCCAGGCCATAGCAGAGAGCTGGATCAGAAGTGGAGTAGCCAGGACTCGCACCATATGAGGCGCCAGCTCCTCAGGCAGAAGCTTAGCCTACTGTGCCACAGTGCCAGCCCCCATGGAATCATTTCAAAATGAGAGGCAGTCTACCCACACAGAGAGAAAACACTCTCATGCTGTATTCAGGGGAAGAGCAAGGAGTGGCACAGTCTATACAGAAGGAGGGCTACATAACCAGGTCACTGTGCATCTACGGCCACCTCTGGAGGGAGCAGCAAGAGACTGGGGAATGTGGCTTCAATTTTTTTTTTACTTATTTTTTAAAGATATATTTATTTGAAAGGCAGAGTTAGAGAGAAAAGGATAGAAAGAGATCTATCTGCTAGCTCACAGGTGGTGGCTTAATCTGCTATGCCATGTAGCTCCCGAATTTTTATTTTAAATTTTATTGAAATGCAGAGAGGCAGAGAGGCAGAGAGAGAGAGAGAGAGAGAGGTCCTATCTATTAGTTTACTCCTCAAATGCCCACAGCAGCCAGGGATGGGTCAGGCTGAAAACCAGGATCCCATAACTCAATCCAGGTCTCCCAACTAGTGGAGCAATTGCCGGCTGCCTTCCAAGAAGCTAGAATTGAGAATGGAGCTGGGACTCGGACCCAGATGTTCTGATCTGGGATGCGGGTATCCCAAGTGGCATCCTAGCCATGGTGCTGGACGCCAACCCCAGTATCAGTGCTTTAAATGCAGAGTGGGGGAGGGGAAGAGTCACTTTTTACCACCCACCCCTCTGTGCTCTGTTTTCTAAGACAGTCATATATATGTATCAGCTATTCAAAAAGAGAAAAACACGATACATATATGCACTGAAGGGTGTCACTCATTTAAGTTATTGTGGCTGGTAAGGAAAAAAAATCACATTTTTCTTTGAAAGAAATAAAATATTTAGCTTGTTTTTAAAAATAGAGGAGTCATAAACCTGTTGTCAAGAGATGGAATCATTTTATTTCCATCAGCTGAATTATCATGGCAATATTGGACACGGCATCTCATGGTGGAGACAAATGCAGAGTCAGCACTGATCTTTCCAGTTCCGTCTAGGTTTTCCTGCAGAGACAGTGCTGTCTGGTCAGAGCTCCCGAATCACCATCCTCAGTCTGCACTGCCGACGTCACCTCCGTTGATCCACCAGCCCCCTTTTCTCAGGGAGCATGGTTGAAAATGAGGTTTTCCTTAAAACGCTCTAATCTCTTTCCTTGTTAATTCTCCACCCCCTGCCTGACTCTGTTCCCTCTTCCCTGTACCCCAGGCAGCTGTCCCAGCCAGCCCTGCTGACCTTGTCGCCCATGTCCCTGGCCACACCTGCTTCTGTTCAGCTCCTGCAATGCCACATGTATGGGTGGTTGGCTCAGCAACACCCACTGACGCCTTGGTGGGGGGAGTGGCTGAGCTCTGGGTGGCATTTGAGAGCTTCACACTCTTGACCTCAGCTTTGTTTCACCCCTGCCCCCCTGCCCTATGCACCCACATCCTCTGGGTTTTGAGGGAAGAACCTGGCTGGAGCCTGCTTATGCAAAACAGGGCTGTATTGGAAGGATCCCTGGGGAGGCTTGGCTGTAGTGGCCTCAGGAACCCTCGGGAGAGGCTGGGCGCCCACCTCTGGTTCCTGTTCTTCCCTGGGCACCAGCTCCCTGCGTTCCTTTCTTTGGCTCTGTTCTCCACGATGGACATGGACAGTGCCTGAGCTTTCTGCCTGCGATCTCAGCCACTAAAAATGAATGGGCTTCTAAGACCCCAGTTCCAGGGAAGAGTCTCAATGGCCCAGAGTGGTCTAGGTAGGAGGGATCAGGCAAGAACACGGCAGCTCCCCCTACAGATGCCTGGATACAGGTGTGGACGTGCAGTTCCCAGCAGCTCCATGGACGCTGTCCCCTGCAGTCCCTGTGTGCTGGGGACAATGTGCACTCCTGGTGGAGGGGATTTGGGGGAAGGAGGTGGATTGGGAGACATGAACAGAGAGGAATGAGGTTCTCGCAGGAAGAATCCAGTGCACCAGGGCCCTGGGGGCTTCTCCAGCATGTCCTCCACACGAGGTCGTGGTTTCTGCTGGAGTTGCCCCTGGCTCCCGGAAGTTGGGCCGCTGAGGGAAGGAGTTCCTTCTCTGCCTTCATGGGAGAGACTGCATGCTGGAAATGCTGCCTGCTGCCAGTTTAGCCTTTGCCAGCCCCCCTTCAGCCTCGGTGAAGTGCCTGCCCAGGAGAGCGTTGCCTGTCCCTGCTGAGAAGCTGCTGGGTGAGTAAAGTGACTACACTTTTGAGGGTAGAAGCATTGCAGGAGCAGGACGCTGCCATACCCGGTTCTGCTCCAAAGCAGAGGTGGGGGGGGGTTGGTGCTGAGGGACAGCTGGCATCGGCTTCAGAAGGGCTCTTCTGATTCCTGACAGGGCTGGTTCTGAAGGGAGGTCCAGGGTTGTGTGGTGAGACCATTGCAATTCACGGTAGTCCTGACAGCTGGGGTCTGCAGAACTGGGGTAGGGCAGGAACAGCTGAGGCCACCCTCAGGGAGTCTCAGCTCCTCTGGCCTCCAGGGGGCTCCCTGCTCTTCTGGCCTCTGGCCTGTTTTCCTATGAAGGCCAGATGCCTGGGAAGGGGCTTTGAGAGCCCGCTGGGGTTCAGGCCATGGGCTGCAGCCCCCCTGTCTTGGCTGGAGACTGTGTGTCCCCAGGAACTAGTGCTCAGGGTAATTTGAGTCCCCAGTTTGCATAACCAATAGGGCCATTCTGGCACCCTGCACCCCCTTCCCTATTGCAACCACTCCCAGTGAGTGATGCCCGAGGCCCCAGACACAGTCCCAAGTGCCACCCAGCTCACTTCCCTTCTGGATGCTTTGAAGCAGCCACTGAGCCATTAGTTCCATCTGACCTATAACGTACGCCCAGAACCCACCCTGTTGCAGGTGCGCCTCTGATTCTCTCTTCTAGGGCAGTGCCAGATCCTCTGCTCACCCACCTTCAGCGTCCATTTCTCCCCATCGACCACTCTGCTGAGGGCCACAGAGTTCATCATTGGGCCACACGGGACTTCCCTCCTAGGAATCCTCGCACTGCCTCTGCACCGGGGTGGGGAGGGGTGGAGGCAACAGAGCACATCTCCCGGTGGCTGCAGGGGCTGCAGGCCTCTCGGGGCTTCCATGTGCCTGTGGAAGTCTGGGCATCACGTGACCTGGGTCTGGACCTGACCATCTTTGGGTCTGAGGCTGGGGGTGGGGTGGCCTACTGCCCGACTGACCAGATGTTGGTAGATAGGCAGGAGGCACATTTGATAGAATCCAATGGATTCACGACGGAGGTGAGTGGGACTTGCTCTCTGCATGAGCTGTGACATGGGGAAGGTCACGCCAGGTGGGTGGCACTGGTCTCCCACGCCAGGTTCCATGAGTGATGTGGCTGAGCTCTCAGTGGGCCCCTGTGTGCAGAGCATGTATACAGTCGTCTCATTCCTCCCGCTCTGCTGGGCATCAGTGTCGAATGGGCCTTGGTGTGAGTCTGTGTCTGGACACGAGTTCAAGACTAGGTGTCAGATCAGCTGGTATCAGGTGGGGCAGGGAGGCGGGCTCTGAGAGCCCTAGAGATGCGGGGGCTGGGAGCAGGCCAGGGAGACCTTTAGACTTGGGCTCCCTGGAGGACACATGGATGCCAGGCTGGGGGAGGAGCATCCTTTCTGAAGGCAGGGGAGGCAAGGTGGGGGCTGTCCTTCCCCAACCGTCCCTAGTCCCTGTGCTCTGCACAAGTCATCCTCCTGGGACCCGACCACCAGGTGCCCGCCCACCTGGCTGTGTGGCTGTCCCCCCTCTGACCACGGGGACAGCCCTCAGGGCAGCAGTTCCCGTGGGCTCCCCTGTGCTGGCTCACATGTGTGTGTGTGTCTTACAGATTGGATATGGATGCCCTGAGGTCCGGCAGGGCCCAGGAGCGAGTAGCGATTATCATGCAGTATGAGAAGGTATAGGCCAGGGTGCTGGGAGAGGAGGTAGGACCCTGCCTCAAGTACTGTGCTTGTGAGAGCCAGACCCCACCTCCCTGGGGACACAGCGGGAGGGTGGCTCAGCTTCCCCCAGTGACTGAGACCCGGACTTCTCACCTGGGTCCCCTCTCCCCTGCAGGGTCCCAGTTTCAGCTGGGAGAAGAGGACGACGAGAATGGAGTCCACATCCCAGACAAACTTGGATTCCTGTGGTGAGTCCTCTGCACCCCGATCCACCCAGGGGAGGCACCAGGGTCAGAAACCCCACCATTAGGTAGCACACCTGCCCCCAGGCCCCCTCCTTGATCCAAGCTGTTGTCACAGTGCAGGCACTGGTCAGTGTGTGGCCAGAGCTGATTACCCAGTGAGTGAATCCAAACTGCAGGCAGAGACAGAGCTGGACATGGGGCAAGCACAGGGCACTCTGCCTCTGAGGCCTCTGTTCATGCTAAGTAGAGGGGGTGGCTTGAGGGTCCTGCCCTGCTCCTAGGGGACACAACCAGGTCATCAGCATTCCAGAGCTGTGTCCACAGAGATGGGGCACCAGCCTAGCATCTGGCGGTTGTCCAGGAGGTACCTGGGTCTCAGGGGCCAAGCTAAAGGCTTTTTAAGGCCTGGCCTGAGGGACGGCCAAGGGTGTGACCTCAAGGCTCTGAACCTGCCTGCAGGCTTCCCCAGTACAGACCAGGGCAGAGGGGTTTGCAGCTGAGGGCCCAGCCCCCGGGTCTATGCTGGGAGGAGTGGGCCTGGGGCAGGAGGGAGACTTGGAGACTGTTCCCACAGATATCAGAGAGAGAGGCCCCGTGGCTGGAGGGTGGGTTCTGGTGACCTAGAGGGCTGGAGCCGTCTCGGGCCATCTCTGACGCAACTCAGAAGCCCACTTTAGCTCGGGGATAGGGGTTTCTGCCTCCATGTTGTGCCCGAACCTGGAGAAAAAGCAGGAGCTGAGTGGTGGAGAGATGGCCACAGTCCGGGTTGACAGAGGAGGGTGAGGTGGGAAGCAGGCACCTCAGGCAGCCAGTAATGTGGGGGAGGGTGGATGGGGGGACCCTGGGGGTGTGGTGGTCCCAGGTGCCTTAAGCCCCAGCTGCACACTCACAGCACTGGCAGCAAGGGCTCCTCCCTGGCCCTGGGCTCCCTGTGCTCACGGTCACAGCCCCTGCTGGGTGTCTGCCTGTAGCATGGCTGCCCCCACCATGCCCTTCTCTGTGCCCTAGGCTGGACCTCAGCAGGGTGAGGAGGACACGGGTCCTGTCCCAGCCTTGCTGGGGAAGTGGACCATGCATGGTTCAGTGCCCATTCTCATGGTGTTGTCTCTCTTGCCTTTCAGTAAGCAGAAGCCGCCCAGGCATGGATGCCTGGCAGTGCAATGGGTAAGCTGACCTTGGCCATGGACTCTTCATCTAGGAGGCAGAACTAGCAGGCCTGTGGGTATGGGCAGTGGTCAGTGGAGTGCCATATGGTCCTCCAGGGACAGCAGTTCCCAGGAGATCTGTTGAGGCCCACATGTCCCAATGCAGGCCTGCAGCTCTGGGTCCCTGCCTGTGGGCCACTGTGATGCTTGTCCTGTGGGCAGAGCCCAAGCCCCTGAGGCTCCCCTAGTTGGAAGGTCTGGGTGCTGTGGTCTGCCCCTTTGCTGGCTCCTCCCAGCTGAGTTGTCCACAGGCTCCTGAGCTGCACCTGTGTCCTCTCTCAGAGGACACTGCTGGGCTCACACCATCCTGTCTCCATTCCCAGCGTAAACATCAGGAGGGCCGCCGACTGCAAAAATGGAACAAGATGCTGCGAAATTTCACCAAGTACTGCAGCAGCAAGAAGGTGCCTGGACCTGAGGGCCCCTGGGGACCACTGGGGGTGGAGTTGGGATGCACGGTACCCATCACTGTGCCTCTCAGACACAACTGTCCTGCCCTGAAAGGACACAGGTCATCTCAGCACCACGCCCATGCACCCAGGACACTGTCACAGTAGAAGATCCAAAGTCTCCCCTGGGGCCACTCCCAGATGCAGGGCAGGCACAGTTCCTGGTGCCCTGTAGGGGCAGTTAGTGCACGACAGAGCCTGCACTGAGGCCTTGGCCCTCCTCTCACTGTTGGGTCAGGAGGCCCAGGTCCAGGCAGATCTGGGGACACAGCACAGAGCCCAGGGCTCCCCTTCCTGCTGTCTCACCCTGCGCTCCCCTCCGACAGAGGGCCTGGGGCGGGTCTCACCAGAGCCTCCTCTCTCCTGTAGTTCCATCGGAGAATTGAGAAAGGCATCCCCGCCCAGGTGCGCGGCAAGGTGTGGGCCATGATGCTCTCCGTGGATACCAGGAAGGCCCAGAACCCTGGCAAATTCGAGGTATGGCTCTGCGTGCAACTGACGCAGCCCGACCTGCTCGGGCCTGGTCAGGAGCCCGAGGCTCCCACGTGGTTAACAAGTAATGCCAAGGAAGAGTGGTCATTCGGTTGGGGCCCCCACCCGGCCCTCCCCTCTGCCTCATCCACATCTCCCCAGAGGCCTCCTCCATGTCTCCCCACACACAAATGGGCCTGGACACAAGGATCCGGTCAGGGCCACAGCCCTTATCCCTGTGGTCCTGCCTTGCCTCTAGGCCCAGGACTGCCCAGTGCCATTGTGCTGGGTCCTGAATGGATAGAGAATGCCTGGAATGAGGTGGAAGTCCTGTGTGCTAGGGCCCTCAGCTGGCTCTGTCCCAAACAGCCCTCCCCACACCTGACACTGCTTGTGCGTTTGTTATGCTCGCCAGGCCCTGCCCTCACCTGGGCCTTCTCATGCCTGGCCTGGCCTCAGCTCACCCAGCCCCCACCAGGCCTGCTGGTTCCATCGGTCAGAGTCAGCTCTCAACTGCTTCTGGGAATGAGGGCTAATCCATCAGAGGGCTGGCCCCAGGCTGTCACCTCCCTGGCTGACATCAGGGAGCAAGGAGCAACTGAGCCGCCAGCCCCGCCCTCGCCCAAGTCTTCAAGTGGGGGCTGCCCCTGGGGCCAGCTCCAAATCCAAGAAGGGTGTCCACTCTCTTGATGGAGCTGGGGCTCTCCTGCAGGGGGCAGCCCTGAAGGCTGGTCAGGGTGAGGCTGACTCCTGTCCTGTGGGGCCTGAGAGCCCAGTGAGGAGGCTCGGAGGCCTGATTCAGTCTCTTCTGCTCTGGGAAGGCAGAGGTAGCACAGAAGGACATTGGCAGAGTCCCTGGCCTCAGGCTGACTGTAGCAGGTCCTCAGTGGCCCCTCTGCTGGGCACAGGGGTGGCGTGGACACTAAGGCGAGTGGGGAACCCATGACCCTCCCTGGATCAGGGGAATGAGCTGCTCCCAGGGGGAACTCTCCCTGCCAACCAGAAGGGCTGATGTGGCTTTGGGGTGCTTGTGTGGCAGTGGGGGTTGGCTCGTCCTGAGGCCGGCCCCTCCCCCTCAGCCATGCCCTGCAGGAGATGAAGGAACGGGCCAGGTTGTGCTCAGATCAAGTCCAACAGATCAATGAAGAGGTGGCATGCACATTCAGAAGTCACGTGATGGTCTGAGAGAGATACAGAGCCAAGTGAGGCCTCTGGGCTTGCAGGGGCCCCGGGGGAGGGAGGTGCAAGGTTCATGGGACACATGGGGGCCTGGGAGAGACGTGGACACAAACCTAAAGCATAATTGCTCTAGAACAGAAAAAAATGGATCCATGGCCTTCTATTTATACTGAACAGTTTGCTTTCCTAAAGACACTTTGGTGGGAATGAAATCAAATGGAACACAAGGGGAGACAGTATTTACAAAATACAGAAAATGAAGTTTGTAAATCTCAATAATAAGAAAGCAAATGAGGGTTCCCTGCCCTGACATGGGCCAAGGCTCAGGAGGGCCCCTGCATGACGGCACACACAATTCTCCTACTCAACAATGAACACAAGCTTAGCACCTAAACCACAACGGGGCACCAGCGCACAGCTGTGAGAATGGGGGAACTAAGACCACTGAGGATGCCGGGTGCTGGGGACAATGTGAGGTGAGTGCCACTCTGGTTCATTGCAGGAACAGAGCACAGTGGCCCAGGCCCTCGGAGGCACCCAGGGCCATTTCTTACAATGAGAAACACACACCTTCCACACGAACCCCCAGCACACAGGCACATGTACACAACCACCAGAACAGCTGAGCACACAGAAAACCCTCACGCAAGATTTAGGGTTGTGTTCACAGTCACTGGACACAGGACTAGCCTGCATGATGCTCAGTGGGGACACAGATAAGCAACCCGTGTCACAGCTGAATCCTAGAATGGGATTCAGTGAGAGGCAGGACGAGGCTCAGCCCTGGGCTCACCTGGATGCATCTCAGGTGCATCCTGCTAAGAGAGGAAACGTCCCTCTAAGATTACACGTGCTGTGATCCACTCACAGGATGTCTGCAAGAGGCCAAATCCGGGACACACAACAGGGCAGTGGTGGCCACGGGCTGGGGGAGGTGGGGAGTTTGGCCACTGAGGCTCATGGGGAACACATAGGTGACAGGAGCTGCTCGCTACCAGGCTGAACGTGCATGGGAGGCTGACTCTCCACGGCTTAGACCCACGGGACTGCACCTCCCACAGTGGGACGCTCACCTCTGCAATGAACACCCACCTGGGGAAACGAAACTGCATGTGACTGCACCCTGTGAAGTGTGTGTGTCCCTGCAGGCAGCGCTCACCCACACGGTGGACCACACGCAGGTGCCCTGACAACGTCACTGCTCATGAGCAGAGTATCACGGGCCCTGCGTGTGGCTGTCAGGCTCTGTTAGGCAGAGCCACACTGAGAGCCTCGGCAGCACAGGACGCACAGCCTCTGTCCTCTCTCTTCCAGACAACGCTCCTTATTTGAGGTGCTCCTCGCATACTCGATGTACAACCCCGTGAGTATTCTGCGATAACATTCCAAGGTCATATCCAGAGCTGTCCATGAAGGGCACCCTTGGTCACAGAGATCCTAGCTGGGTTGAGGGGGCCTCTCTAATCCACAAGGCAGAGACTGAGGGGTAGAGTTCAAGCTCATGGCCTCCTTGGCCCCAACCTCAAGTTCTGGGGGCAGAACGGAAGCCTTCTCCTGGGCTGGGCTCTGTTCTGGCCCAGGCAGGCCTTACTATGGTGCTTCTTCCTCACATCTGCAGTGGGGCCCAGCAGGGCACCTGTGCAGCAGAGAGCTCCAGAGGCCATCACGGGTGTGCAGTCTGCACTCCCCCACAACATTCTTCCCCTTTCTGACATCTGGGGTGGGGCTCATACCTCTTCTTAACCCTGCACAGCCTGCGCTCAGACCCTGCAGGATTCTCTCCAGGAACTTTGAGAGCTGGCGTGTGCTCCAGTCCCTGAGATCCTCATACTCAAGGGGCAGCAGTGGGGCCTGGTAGTAACGCTCAGCCCTCCCAGGAGAGGTCACCCTTACCACTTGAGATCATCCCAGCCAGGGAGGTCCCTCTGATGTGTTTTGTGTTCTTCCAGGAATTGGGCTACAGCCAGGGCCTAAGCCACGTGGCAGCCCTGCTGCTGATGTGGCTGAGTGAAGAGGATGCTTGTTGGGCACTAGTCCAGCTCATGGAGGACAGCCAGCACGCGATGCATGGTGGGTGATGGGTGTGGTGGGTGTGGTCCGTGCAAGTGCAGGGATGGGCATGCAGACAAGTGACTGGGACATTGTCCCTCACTGGCTGCTGCGTGCATAGGGCGGTCTCCCTCAGAATACTTCCTTAGAAGCCATGGCCGGCAGAGGGCCCAATACCAAGCCATACCCCTCACTTCCCATCACACAAAGGTCCTGTGCCTTGTCTTTGACAAATGACCTTTAGGTCTCTACTGGCCTTACTGCTTCACATCTCTACTCAGACTCCCACCCACTGAGCCACACCCTTGCAGAAGAAGCATCCATTCTAGGGTGACCCCTCCTCACCCTGAGTGTCCAGATGGCCCTGAGGCACCCAGTTTCACTGCAGTCTGCCCAGAGGTCACCTTAGCCTGCCCTGGGCTGTCAGCTGTACCCCCCTTCCCCTGATACTCCCCTGCCTGTTAGAGCCTCCCCTGACCCTCTGTGTTCAGAAAGACCCCACCCCAAGCCTTTGGCTTTCCAACCTTCCTGAGAAGACACTCTGAATGAGGGCTGGTGGGTTGCTATTACACAGATTTCTACACACCAGACTCCCCAAAACTGGAGCGATTCCAGCAACACCTCGGAGATATCATGCATCGCGTGCTCCTCTCCCTGGAGAAACACCTGGTAAGTAAACATCTCCTTTCTCCCCTCGGGGGCTCTGTGCTCAGGGAGGGGAGGACAGAGAGGGGTCCTGACTGCTTCCTGGGCCAGGGGAGGCTATGTCCTCACCAAGGCTTTCCTTGGTTACTGGGGTCCACGGAAGCTTGGGTGCTGGTTTGATTTCCAGCACTTGGTCCCCCAGAGTTTGTGTAGATTGAAGGGAGACGCTGTCCCCAGGGCAGAGTGGACTGAGGGACCTGTGTTTCCTCAAGAACCTGCATGGCTATGAGAGGGGATGCACCTGCTGCTGGGCTTCCTGTACCCAAGGGCTCTGCCACAGGGCGCAGATTAGAGCGAGTTAGGCCTGGGCCCTGGGCCCTGAGCCTCCTCTGCCTTTGCCTCTTCTCAGGAGAAGGAGGGGGTGTGCCTCGAGGACTACACCACCCACTGGTACATCCAGTGCTTCCTGGATGGGGTAAGTGCCCCAGGGACCCCTTGACCAGGGAAGCTCCTTCCCCAGTACCTGGCTCTCTTGACCTGGTGGCCTCTGACTCTGAGCTCCCCCAGCCCCAACAGATACAGGAGGGAGCCTGCTGTGCAGACCAGGCAGGCCCTGTCCTGCTGAGGGTGGTCCAAGTTGAGGCTGAGCCTCAGGGACAGCAAGGAGGGGACAGGTCCCACCAGGACCCATCCTGAGAGCCTGGCAAAGGCCAGAGCCCTACAGTGAGAGGCAAGAGATCCATAGACCTTGGGTGGCACAGGCTAGTTTCTGCACAGCCCAAGGGCTGAACCATCTACCAGGTTCATGGGAGTCTGGGATCCCAGTGTGGCTACCAAAGTGTGCAGAGCAGTCTGGGTGGCACCAGGGTCCTGGATAGGCCTTGGTGCTCTTTCTCTCTGGGCTTCTAGGACACAGCTAGGATGCCCTGTGACACCACACACCCACCCACTTTGGGCCCTGCTGAGGCCCTGATGTGCGGGGTCCTCCAATGCCTCTGTCCCCCAGGTGCCGTTCCCCCTGGCACTTCGGATGTGGGACATCTACATCCTTGAGGGCGCACACATACTCACCATCATGGCATACACCATCCTCAAGGTCCATCGAAGTAAGTCCTCAGGGCCATCAGAGGCCATGGTGCTGGGGATGGAGGACTTGGGGGGTTCTCATGCTTGGCCTGGGTGAGCAGAACCTGGGCGAGGGACGAGTTTTCTGAGTTCTTGGCCGACTTAGGGGGCTCTGAGAATCCCGTTTCATCCCCAACAGCAAAAACTCAAAGTCCACAGGGAGAAGTGGCCAAGGTCATTGCCCAGGAAAAGTGTCCCCTGGTCAGTCCCCTCTAGTGCTTGATACTCATGGGTGTCCAAGGGGGTCTGCAGACCATGTCTGGTGCAGGCACAGGGATGGAGCAGCCACCATGGCTGCACCATCCCTATGGCACCTCCCAGCCTGACACCCACCCCCATGTCTAGAGCCCATGGTGAAGATGTCCCAGGACCATATCCAGGAGTTCCTGCATGTGCTCCTTCCCCAGTGCCTGGCTCTCTTAACCTGGTGGCCTGTGACTCTGAGCAGGGCTGAGCTCCCCCAGCCCCAGCAGACACAGGAAGGAGCCTGCTGTGCAGACCAGGCAGGCCCTGTCCTGCTGAGGGTGGTCCAAGCTGAGGCTGAGCCTCAGGGCCAGCAAGTGGGGGACAGGGCCAGGGTCAGGGGTTGCAGCAGGAACAAGGATTGGAGCAGCCATGGTGGCTACACCATCCCTAGGGCTCCTCCTAGCCTGATGCCCACCCCCATGTCTAGAGTGCCTGATGAAGATGTCCAGGGACCACAACCAGGAGTTCCTGCAGGTGACCCTGAAGCAGGCCTGGTCACTGAGCGAGGATGCAGTCATCAGGCAGCTGCGGGCCTCCATGCGTGAGCTGGGGAAGCTGCAGTGCCTCCTGCCTCCCGAAGGTGAGTCCAGCACACAGCCCTGTCCCATTCTCCATTGGGGGAGTCAGTAGTGGGAGTGCCAGGCCTTGGCAGCCCCACCCAGGGACTCACCTCTTCCTAGTCCTCCTTGTCCTCCCCGGGCTCAGCAGTTCTGCTTTCAGGAGCTTCTGACAGCATGGCCTGGCGGGGCCTCGGGCAGCTTCCCTGGATCCTCCTGCAGGGTGTTCCAGCAGGCACTGGATCCTCTTCAGCCATCTGAGGACCCCTGGAAGGCCCAGGTGTCCTTAGCCCAGTTGTGGGGGCCGAGTCCACTCCTGTGAGCAGGGTGGGCGTAGAGGCAGGCGCTGCAGGCCCCCATGGCAGAACCCAAGTGCAGCTGAGTGTATGCTCTGCAGTCCTAGCCTCAGGCCAACAGAAGTCAGCAGAACCCGGAGCAGCGCTGGCCTCTGGGCTCTGGTGGGGAGGGGTCTCCGTGCTCGTCCCCTGCTGCTACTGCCACCAAGGACCTGAGATCATGGGTCCCCATGCAGAGCAGAGATGGGTTTGTCCCAGCTCTAGGGGCTGGCAGTGGGGGCCCAGGGGCAGGTTGTTCAGGCACTGGGGAGGCCCCACTGTGCTTCCAGGTGCTGCTTCCCCTGGGTGCTAGTGGGACAGAAGCGTTGACAGCCCAATCTCACCGGGAAAGGGACAGTGGCCCAGGGGCAGAGGACACAGGGCACCACTGCCACCTCTTTAGAAACTGCATTCCCTGTCCCCGAGGGCCTGAACCAGACTCCATGTCTGCCCCACAACCCCAGCTCTCACCCCCATCATCTTAGGCTCAGTTCCCTTCCTACAATTCAGGAGGGACTCAGATGCGGGTAACTCAGCCAATGCACTGTTAGGGCCCAGGATTTCAGGTGGGGTAGGTGATGGGGTCCTGCATTGGTGCCTGCAGTCCGCAGAGATGAGAGAGTGAGGAGGGGGGCTCAAGGCCTGTCCAGTCTGTGCGCTTTGGGGGAAGAACCAGAGGTGTCCCTGTCATTCCCATGGCCCAGGCTGCATGCACCATTCCTTCTGTGGCCAGCAGGCTGGAGGTATCCTGAGCATCACACCGAGCGATGGGGACCCCAAGGGTCAGGGCAGGGCAGGCACCCTGCAGGCCAGATGGTGGCTGTACAGAAGCAAAACCCATCTGTTCTTCCAGCAAAACCAACCGAAGATGGCAGCCCGGCCCTGCAGGTGCCGCCTGGCTCTCAGGAGCGCACTCCCCCACCAGTGTCCCTCAAGACCATCGTTGAGGAGAGCAAAGGCTGCCACCCTGCTGCTGCAGCTCCCCAGGAGCCAGTGGGGGCTTCAGTTTCTGTCCCCGGGGAGACCGGTCCTCTCGCATCTCCCGTCCAGCCCGAAACCAAGCAACATGCCAAGAAGGAGGGCAGTCGTGGCGAGAGCACCACCCAGCCCCACGGCCAGGGCTCCTCCACGGGGGCCTCAGGGTCAGGGGGCACCACCCACCTCTCGGGCCCACAGTGCTCCTGGCTGGATGAGCAGGCCCCCTCCGGCGCTGGACTTCCCTGACCAAACTCAACATGACCTTCCAAGATGACGACTCCGACTCTGACAACGAGGAGTACTACAACGGCCTGGAGGAGCAGGAAGAGGAGGAAGAGGAGGAGGAAGAGGAGGAGGAAGAGGAGGAAGACCGGGCTGCCGAGTGCCCTGTGTCGCCCTGGCCAAAGCTGCTGCGGGACCTGGGATTCATCTTGCCTGAAACGATTTTTGAAGAGGACAAGGAGGGAGGCTGTGAAGAGGGCGCCTCCCCGGAGCCCTCGTCCCCAGCCCTGTCTGTGAAGTCCTCAGAGTGTCTGCATGGCCTGGGCCTCTTGGCCCCACAGAGCTTGCAGAGCAGGGGAGACCTGTCCCAATGGGGGGGCCTCCCAAATCTCAGCCCGCCTGTCAAAGGTGCTGATTCCTGGCCCCTGGAGCTGGGTGGCCAGCAGGGTCTCAGGGCCCCTCCTTCACCTGCCTCAGAGCCCCTGGATCCCGGGCCCATGCAGGCTGTACCAGCCCTGGAAGCAGGGCTGAAGATGCCCTCCCTTCATGGGAGCCCATGCACTCTGGGGATAGTCATGGGTGGGAGCCTGCAGGAGCCAGCCCTGCGCTGGGAGACCAGGCCTGTGTGCCCTCCCTGGCTCAAGGCCTCCTTGCTGCCCACTCCATGGAGGAGCTGGATGTGTGTGGGCACCTGGAGGGGAAGAACAGCCCACCAGGTGTCCAGCTCAGATGGGCCAGAAGCCTAAATTGTCTAAGCACAGCGGCCTCCCCGATGGACAAGGCTCCTCTCTGGAGCTCCTCTCCCCCTACCTGAGGCCTCACCCTAGCTGAACTCAGCCAGAAGCCTAGCTTCTCTATGCCCATTGACCTCCCTGATTGACAAGGCTCCTCTCTGGAGCTCCTCTCCCCCTCCCTGAGCGGCCTCACCCTAGTTCATCTCAGCCAAGGAGCCAGTCCACTGCCACAGTTGCTATGGGCACCCTCAGAGCAGATGCGGTAGGACACAGACCCAGGCACCTGTGGGCTGCCACATACCCCTCCCTCCTTCGTGAGGGAACCCGGGAATTTCTGCCCCTTGTTGATTGTATATTAAATTGTTTATTTCAGAATGTATTTGATTTTGTGACCCCTGGAGCCGAGCTGCCACACAGGGTCCCTGAGTCCCTTGCAAGGGGCTGGAGGTGCCACAGCCTCCAGATGCAATGAGAGACCCTGCTCAGGGTGTTCCATCTGTTCCTGAGATTGACCTGTGCCCAGCGTGGACCAGGGAAGGACCAGAGGAGCAGGAATGGCTGGGTATATGTGGCCTTTGGGACAGTTCAGGAGTGTGGGTCCAGCCAAGGGACCAGGCCCATGATCACCTCTGTGCACTGTCCTGGGTGTGTGGGCACCAGGTTCCCACTCTTCTTCCTTCTCTGCCTTCCATCCTCCCTGCCCCATCTCACAATCCAGCATCTCATGGCCTGAGCCTGCAAGAGGACCCCAGGGCACTTCTGACCACAGACCAGGATGCCAGTGGGTGGAGGCAGCCCCAGAATGTCCAGCTAGTCCTGGTGGCACACCTGGCTGGCCAGATGCCCACATGCCCTCTGGCAGCTCAGGCCTCCTGGGCTGCTGTCACAGTGGGTTCAGCTTCTCCAGGTCATGCTGTCACTAGGGGTCATTAGCATGGAGAATATGTCCCCTGATGTTGGGAGAAGAGACTCCTGGCTCAGAGGCTCCTGGTCTGGAGGCTCCACAGGGAAGGAGTCTGCAACCCTGCCTTGGGCAGAGAGAGCATCCCAGTTCTCCAAGTGTCCCAGACACTTGTAGCCTCTTCCTCAACCCACACGACCTCCAAAAGGCGACTAGGCCCTGTTCATCAGAAGCCACCTGGGTCATCCCAATGGGGCAGGTTAGGCCATAGCCATTTTCCCCTGGGTCTGGAAGGCCTAGGATTCTCTAGCTGTTGAGTCTGGTTTGGAGTTGACCACTCTGTACTCCATTCTTGAATGAGCCATGGCTGTGTCAGTGGCAGGACCCCAAGGGCTCAGAATCGCTGGTCCCCACAGGGTGCTTTTTGCAGAATCACACTGAGGCCAGAATCTGACGAGATAGAGGGTGACAAGTGGCTACTGTGCTGATGACTCATCTCTCCAGGGTGGGGAGCCACAGCCATGGGCCAGTCCTGAGCCTGCTTCCTGTTCTCCAGTGCTCAAGGCTGGTCCTCTTGTTCCTGGGAACCATAAGGCCATATTTTGGAGTCTTCACCTTCTTCTTCTGCTCCTTATCTGGGGGAAGATGTGAGCCCGATGATGAGCTTGCAGGCAAGGTTGCTACAGGGCAGGCAAAGTGGATGGGAAGGCCTCTGTCCAGGTCAAGCCTGTGCTGTGCTCCCTGCTCTGCCCTGGCTTCCTGGGTGGACCGCAGTGTACTCAGCGATGTGCAGGCAGTCCACCTGTCCAGGCACATGCCCTAAACATTGTTACTAATGGGAACGCACACCTAGAGACTTTCCTGGTGCCTATGGCCTCGAACCATCCTCCCCTGGCCATCCATGTGCAGGGTGACCTGCAGGCATGCATCTCCATTGAAAGCCACCTGCCTTTGGTGACAGTCCTTTGCCCTCTCCTGGAATGGAGATTTCACTAACCTGGTGCTCTTTCTTAAGAAGACTTTCTCCATTGTATCACTTTGCTTTCTTGTCAAAGATCTGATAACTGTATTCGTGAAGGTCTCTTCCGGGGTTACCATTCTGACTCTCACCAGTCCCACATTGCCATGATTGGCTGTCTCATAAGTTAGTGAAGCTGTGACACGTCAGTCCTCCAGTGTGTTCATCTTCAATTATGGGCAGTGGGATCTTCGGGGTATCTTCTTCCCCACATACATTTTAAAATCAGTTTGCTAATTGTAAAACATCTTGATAGGATTTTTTTTGAAGATTTATTTATTTTAAAGAGTTACACAGAGAAGGTGAGGAAGAGAGAGAGAGATAGAAAGAGAGAGAGAGGTCTTCCATCTGCTGACTCACTCTCCAATTGCCCACAACAGCTGGAACTGTGCTGATCTGAAGCCAGGAGCCCCAACCTTCATCCGATTCTCTCATACAGACGGTAGGGGCCCAAGCACTTGGGCCACCATCTACTGCTTTCCCAGGCCGTAGTAGAGAGATAGATTGGAAGAGGAGTAGCCGGGACTCAAGGCAGGATCTATATGGAATGTCAGCACCCGCTACGCCACAGCGCTGGAAACGTTGATAGGATTTGGATTAAGACTGTGTTGGTCTATCAAGTGAAGAAATACAGATATCTTGGCTAGATTAAGTCTTCCAATTCATAACCATAGAATTTGTCTCCAAATGTTTAGTTCTTCCTTGAGATATTTTTTAGGAGCTTTGTGGTGATCCTCATAGAGATTTTACATATTTTGTTGGAAGTATACCCAGATGTTTCATTTGTTTTGCTACAGAACATTTTTTTTTTAATTTCCATGCATAGTTTTCTCATTAGATTCATTTTCCAAGAGCCCTCATATGTTAGTGTAGTACTTTTCGTATGTGCTGCTCTACACATCTCTAGTTCTGACTTGGTCTTGCTCATGCACTTGCTGCTCTTTTTCTCCACACACACACCCACACACACACACACACACACACACACCCTCTTTCCTTCCTCTAGATTCACCATGGTGCCTCCCTGCATTGTAAGTAAAACAAAACAAAACAAAAGTGTCCTAGAAGGCTCTGGTATGCTTCCTAGGACACTACCCCAGTACAAAGGAGGAGAGGTGTCTCATTACTGCAATGAGTGGCTAGCTTTGGGGTGAACACACAAGAGTTCCATATGGCCTCCACTGACAACAAGCCAGGTCTCTCTAAAGACAAGTGAAGATGAAAAATCTAAGTTCCCTATTGGGCCTTGACACCATCCCAAGGAGGGTGCTGCTGTTCGTTTCTGAATTAAGAAGCTCGAAGTGTAGGCTCCACACTTGGCCTTGTCTGGTGTGATAGGACTAACTGGGGTCTTTATGTGCAATCCAATGATTGCTGATTAAGTGATTTCTGTCTTGCTCGGCTGTGCTTTTCTTGATTCTTTGACAAGAGAAAGCAGGCTTTGGTTATGGCTTATTTTGTCTACACTCGTTGGGACTTCTGAAATGCTGGCTTCTTGAGGTCTCAGTCTGAAATATGTAAGAACAAAGGAAACCCAGGAAATTCACCACTGTGTTATTTCTTGGGTGCTAAAGTCCCTAGTTGGTCTGCTTTCATTTCTATACCTTTCAGTATTCTTATCCTTGTTTTCTAAATAATAGCCAATTTTTTCAGTAATCATTAGTGGGAGTAATAAAGAAAGAAATACCTATTCCACATTCCAGAATCAGGAGCTCTAAAAAGATATTTTTTAAAAAAACATATACTACTTGATTACTTACTGAGGAGCTGACTCTACTTTTGCTTGGGTAGGAGAAAATATGCATGATATAGCTTCAGATACAAGTTATGGTATCTTCCCAGCATGCAGTCCATCAGAGGAACTGGCCTTTAAGAGACTGCTCACTCTAGTGACAAAGTTAGATGGTTCCTTTTCAGTGTTAGCAAAGCTGACTTTAAAAAAATCTTATATCACTCAGCATATGACATTTGTCCCTTTGGGACTGGCTTAATTCACTCAGCATAATGTTTTCCAGATTCCTCCATCTTGTTGCAAATGACTGGGTTTCGTTGTTTTTGACTGCTGTACAGTATTCTATAGAGTACATGTCCCATAATTTCTTTATCCAGTCTACTGTTGATGGGCATTTGGGTTGGTTCCAGGTCTTAGCTATTGTGAATTGAGCTGCAATAAACATTAATGTGCAGACAGCTTGTTTGTTTGCTAATTTCATTTCCTTTGAGTAAATTCCAAGGAGTGGGATGGCTGGGTTGAATGGTAGGGTTATATTCAGGTTTCTGAGGAATCTCCAGACTGACTTCCGTAGTGGCTTAACCAATGTACATTCCTACCAACATTGGGTTAGTGTCCCTTTTTCCCCACATCCTCTCCAGCATCTATTGTTGGTAGATTTCTGAATGTGAGCCATTCTAACCGGGGTAGGTGAAACCTCATTGTGGTTTTGATTTGCATTTCCCTGATTGCTAGTGATCTTGAACATTTTTTCATGTGTCTGTTGGCCATTTGGATTTCCTCTTTTGAAAAATGTCTATTGAGGTCCTTGGCCCATCTCTTAAGTGGGTTGTTTGTTTTGATGTTGTGGAGTTTCTTGATTTCTTTGTAGATTCTGGTTATCAACCCTTTATCTGTTGCATAGTTTGCGAATATTTTTTCCCATTCTGTCGGTTGCCTCTTCACTTTCCTGACTGTTTCTTTTGAAGTACAGAAACTTCTCAATTTGATGCAATCTCAAATGTTAATTTTGGCTTTGACTGTCTGTGCTTCTGGGGTATTTTCTAGGAAGTCTTTGCCAGTACCTATATCTTGCAGAGTTTCTCCAATGCTCTCTAATAACATTACACTGAGTGAATTAAGCCAGTCCCAAAGGGACAAATATCATATGTTCTCCCTGATCGGCGACAACTAACTGAGCACCAAAGGGGAAACCTGTTGAAGTGAAATGGACACTGAGAAACAGTGACTTGATCAGCTCTTGTCCTGACTGTTGATGTACAATGTAATACTTTATCCTTTTCAGTATTTTCTCTTTGTTTTGTTCTAGTACTATTGGTTGAACTCTGTATTAACACACAATTATTCTTAGGTGTTTAAATTTTAACTGAAAAGTGATCCTTGCTAAACATAAGAGTGGGAATAAGAGAGGGAGGAGATGTACAATTTGGGACATGCTTAATCGGACTTGCCCCAAATGGTGGAGTTAGAATCATGCCAGGGTATCCCCATACAATCCCATCAAGGTGGCATGTACCAATGCCATCTCACTAGTCCAAGTAATCAATTTCAGTTCACAATTGATCATAATGATAGGCCTAAGAGTCAAAGGGATCACACCAACAAGACTAGTGTCTGCTAATACTAGCTGATAGAATCAAAAAGGGAGAGAACGATCCATCATGGGAAGCGGGATACACAGTAGACTCATAGAATGGCAGATGTCCTAAATAGCACTCTGGCTTCAGAATCAGCCCTTAAGGCATTTGGATATGGCTGAAGAGCCCATGAGAGTATTTTAGGCATGGAAAGCCAAGACACCCTGGGGGGGGGGAGAAGAAGAAGAAGAAGAAGGCCTAAATGGAAGATCTCTGTGAGTGAGATCCCAGTGGAAAGAATGGGGTCATCAAAGAAGGAGGAGGTACCTTTCTCTGAAGGGAGGAGAGAACTTCCACTTTGACTATCACCCTGTCCGAATAAGATCAAAGTCGGCAAACTCAAAAGGCTTCCATAGCCTTGGCAACTCATGATTAGAGCCTAGGGAGATTACTGACGCCATAAACAAGAGTGTCAAATTGTTAAGTCAACAACAGGAGTCACTGTGTACTTACTTCTCATGTGGGATCTGTCCTTAATGTGTTGTCCAATGTGAAGTAATGCGCTAACTAGTACTGAAACAGTATTTTACACTTTGTGTTTCTGTGTGGGTGCAAACTGATGAAATCTTTACTTAATATATACTAAATTGATCTTCTGTATGTAAAGATAATTGAAAATGAATCTTGTTGTGAATGGAATGGGAGAGGGAGCGGGAGATGGGAGGGATGTGAGTGGGAGGGAAATTATGGGGGGGAAGCCATTGTAATCCATTAACTGTACTTTTAAAATTTATATTTACTAAATAAAAAAATATAAAAAAAAAACTTTAAGCCGGCGCCGTGGCTCAATAGGCTAATCCTCCACCTTGCGGCGCCGGCACACCGGGTTCTAGTCCCGGTTGGGGCGCCGGATTCTGTCCCGGTTGCCCCTCTTCCAGGCCAGCTCTCTGCTATGGCCAGGGAGTGCAGTGGAGGATGGCCCAGGTGCTTGGGCCCTGCACCCCATGGGAGACCAGGAAAAAGCACCTGGCTCCTGGCTCCTGCCAGGATCAGCGCGGTGCGCCGGCTGCAGCGGCGGCCATTGGAGGGTGAACCAGCGGCAAAGGAAGACCTTTCTCTCTCTGTCTCTCTCTCACTGTCCACTCTGCCTGTCAAAAAAAAAAAAAAAAAAAAAAAAAACTTTTATCAGTGATTCATGAACCTTCATTTTAACTTTCCAACCTCCCCACAAATGCTCCCAGGGTTGACTTGAGATGAGGTGGCTTAGTGGCTCTTGTCCCTACAGTAAATACCTAGGCTGTGACAGTCTCCTGCATCAACCTACCTGCCCCACCACCACCACACACACACCTCTGAACAACCCTTCCTCTCTGAGGACTGCACACATCTCTCCTATAATGTTCTCATTTTCTAAAAGAACACATTGGAGCATTTTGATCTTAGTTCCTTCATGAACTCGCTTCCATGATACCTGACATTTTCACAGGAAACTGGTCCCAGTCCCCAGGGAAAAGAAAGCTTGTTTGGTAGGAGACTGCAATGACCTTGCTGTCTCCTTCTCCATTCCCTTAACTCATTGCTTCTGATGTTTCAAACTCCAGTGAATGATGAGTCAGCCACAGTTACATACATATTAACTTGGGTAACCCTACAGCAGAAATAGCACCAAAATGAGTTACTAATTCTGGTGAGTCGATAAGTAGAAAGAAAGGTAGGGAGTGGAGTGGGTGGATGTGAGGGCAGATGCTTTAAAGGGAAGACTGTGACTGCAGGTGACTCTCAGAGAATTCTAGAAAGGTGACCTGATGAACAGAGAAATTGCTTCAATTTATGTTAGAGGACATTTCATTTCTAAACCAACATGCTTGCACAAAGTGACTTTCCATCTTGACATGAGCACAGACAATAGTTGGAAAGGCAGATTTCAGGGGAATGTGATTTAATTGTTCATCCGATTAGGCCAGCCTCCAAAATGTCATTTGCTGCTCTCTTCTGCCAACTGGACCTAGTTTCACACTAAGAGGACTTTAATATCAGGGCCCAGGAAGATTGGCACCTTCCGAGATCCAAAGTGGCTCAAAGGGGATTTTCTCCTTGACACTTGAACTTCATCAGTTAACCTGCCTCTCTGTAGTTCTGCAACACAGGCATCACATGATGTATTTATTTTCCTGCTTCTTGCACCCTCAGCCTCAGAGAAAATCAACCAAATAAACAAAGAGTTGAGCTGCATTTTAACAGCATTTCCAGAGAGATCTTTCAAAGTTTATTTGATACTGGCTATGTTTATAATGTCACCTGTTATTTTCTTTCTCCTGTTTAGTTCCCTGGTAGCCTTAGATTTAAATATCAGGTGAGGGACTTAACATCCACCTCTGCCCCTCATGCATAAATCACAGCCACAAAACCCTTCATCCTTCTGTTCACCCCACCTTGTTAATGAGCTAAGAATGGGAAGGAGATGCAGCCTTCAGAGCCTGTCATGCTGTGACACATGAGCAGAAAATGCCATGTAGAGAGAGGCTGGGTTCTGTTCACAATAAACATTAATACAAAAGGAATACAAAGCCACAGTCTCGTGTCCTGTCTGCAAAGCATGCCTTTGTTTAATGTGTCTTTTTCATTAGGCTTCCTGAGCAAAGCAAGCTAGGACATTTAAAGTCAAGTTCATGCAAATGTTTAAGCAATGTGGCTAGGGGTCCCTGTCATGGAGACATTGACCAAGCTGTTGTTACCAAGTATTCCCCGTTCACTGGGGCAGCAGATATGACTTCGGGCTTCTGCAAAGAGCAATTCAGATGCGTCTTCCTCCATTGGAAAGCACAGAATCCAAGACTAAGTCATAGTGCTGGCATTAAAAGAAAATAAAATAAAATTCAAACACATTATACATAAACAGAAGACTGAACTTAGGTAGAAAATGTCCAAGCCCCATACATGCTTTGAGTAAAGTCAATAAAAATCTCACAGAGCATGCAAAATAAGGGGTCTTCATAAAAATTAAGTAGAAGGGGCTTGAGCAGAATTTGTAGACATAAAAATCAGGTTAGGTTTTCATGCTTGTCTTGATCAGTTCAAGGAAAATTCATGGAGGGGTTATTATTTCTGGATTTGCTTTTAAGCATTTTAATAACATGAAAGGCATGTTTAGGATAAGTTGCCATTTTAGATAAGCATTAAGTAAATTCACTGATGTAACTAACCTGGGGTGGATTGTAGTTTTAGAGACATGGGGGGTTAGGTAAAGATCCAACTGTGGATTGTAAACATGCTGGACTCAATAGAGACCCAGAAAACTCAGCAAAAGTATTGGCAAAAGAAAAGAACCTGCTTACGTGGTTCTCACGAGAGGTTTCAGAGAGACAGCTCACCTTGCACATGCCATTCAAAACCACCAAGTTTGACCAGAACCTATCCTAAATGGAAGGGACAGACAGGAAGCAAGTCCCTGGTGGATTGAGTTATTCCTGTTTTAACAGTCAAACCAGACTGGCTTAGAAGGCCAACAACAAGTTCTTGGACCCTGAAAATTTAGAGAGGAAGTGTTTGGACAACACTGAAATCATTCACAATCAGTCATCCTCTGGAACAACATGGTAAAGTAAGAAAACCTGGAGTCTGGGGACCAGAGTGTAACCTCAGCTCTGTGGACTACCAGCTATGTATCCTTGGGAAAACCAATCAATGCCCATGAATCTCAGTATCAAAACCCAGAAAATGTGGGGCTTATTCTATATTAGCATTTCCTAAACTGTGTTCTGTGTGTAGTAGTAGATTGTACTCCAAGATGGCCATGGCACTTCCTTGTACCACTCTCAGTGACCCTCTGCAATGCCACTTTGGCCTCCCACCAAGAGGAACAGCAGTGTTCACATCCCTGGATTCCAGCCTGGCCTTGTGACTTGTTTTACCTGATATTATGCAGCAGAAGTGCTGTTGTCCAACTTTCAGGAGTTAGGCCTTTGGCTGCCTAATGGTTCTGTTGTTGGCCCTACTGAAACACTGTCTTGAGCACACCTTTGTAAGAAAGCCATCTGGAAACAAGAAATCACATGAGACAAGTGGCACCCCAGACAGCACCAACTGGGACAGCATCTTCCACCTTCCAGCACAGGAAATACATGGGATTTTGAAATACACATCTTCACTGTTATCTGAAACCACTAAATGTGGAGGCAATCTCTTGTGCAGCATTAGAGAACTCAAAGGGTGCTCAGTAAAGTATGTGGTTTCATTGTCAAGTAAGGTTGGGTGAAGACTGGCTAAACAATTGTAAATAAGTTTCTCAAACTATGGAGTTGCATAGCTTTTAACATTCTAATGTGGACTTAAAACTCCAAAGCATGGGAAGGATTTGAATGTCATGTCTGCCAGACTTCTTTTGATCACAGGATATTATTTTCCCTAGAAAACTGCTTAATCATTGTGGATCACAATGTGGGAAATACTGATGTGTTAGAATTCCAAAGGCACTGCCAGTCCTAGCATTCCAGAAGTCTGCAAATGGAGCAGAGTATTTTGGTCACTATTTCTTCTTGATTATCTTGATGACAAGCAAATTCACTCCATGGCTGGTTGCTATGAATTTCATTATTCACTTCCACTGAAAGTGTTTTTTACTCAAGTATAAGTAGTTTGCAGCACTTATTGTGTAGTATCAAATCTATACTTCCATTTCACACACATGTTCTTCTTTAATCTGCAGAGTTATGTGGACTGAATACTATTATGACCACTGCAATATTATGTCCACAGGCAAGTGGATGAGGGAGAAGCTTGGCATCTGGACCCTGGATATACATCTGTGCAGATTCAGAAACACAGCTATGGAGAACCGACTCCAGAACCCATGTCCTCAATAACCACACTGCACTTGACACTGTTCTTCTCTTGCTCACAGAAAGTGATGAGGTAATAAATTTAGTGTTGGCCAAGCCTGAATCCCAAGTCTTCCCTCCTAGGAAATGTTTCAGGTAGTCAAATGGGGAAAGGATCATGTTGGGTTAACCTTCAAGAGAGAATTAAAATGTACCAACATGTACCAAAGACCTATTTTAAACCAATTACTGTGATAAGATTTTTAAACTATTATTTATTCAAAAGGCACAGTGAAAGGGGGGGGGAGAGGGAGGGGCAGAGAGGGAGGGGGAGAGAGGGAGGGAGAAAGGGAAGGAGAGGGAGAGAGAGAATTGAGATTTTCTATTCATTGGTTCACTCTCCAAAGGTCCACAAGAGCTGAGCCTGGGACAGGCCAAATCAAGGAGCTAGGAATCCATCCAGGTCTCCCACATAGCTGGGAAGGACTCAAGTCCTTGAATCATCAATTATCTCCCAGGCACATTAGCAGGAAGCTGGATTGGGTGCTGAAACAGGATTCCATCCCAGGTACTCTAATGTAGGAGGCAGCTTAACCCATTGAGCCAAACACTGGCTCTGTGGCAGGATCTGAACACACCCCATGGCATCTGATGTTCAAGCAGCCATCTGGGGTAGGTAAGATCATCTCTATCTTATGACTGATGCTCAGAGGAAAATGGCTCCCAGGTAGAAGGAAAAGTCTGATACCAACATCAGTATATAATGTTTCCATTCTGTTTCTGCCTAATTCAGACCATGCTGTTGTTATTCAAATAATGGGTTTACAAAGATGGAATCCCCCCCAAATAGCTGCATGCATAATATTTCACCAGCATGGAGGAACTCTGAAGTGTGTGGAAGATAAAAGGGCACACTCAGGAAGATGGAATTAGTGAAATAGGCTGGTCCAGCAGGAAAGGAAACCTGGTGGAACAACTGAACAGTGCATTAACAAAACCAGACTCAGAAAAGCCTCCTTTTGTGGGGAATAGAGGGGTCTTGTTCCCTGAATCTAGTAAGCAAGGTAGAACCTGTGACAATCTCCCACCTTGTCTTGGTAAGACCAGGGAGAGTCAAGAGACTTTGAAGAAAAAAAACCCTTTGCAATAAGCCTCTAAAGGCTGCCTCTAACTTGATTTTGGACAGAGGACAGCTCCCCTGCTCAGTCCATATGTAGGACCCACAGGGGCACCTGGAAGTGTAACCTCTGCAAGAAGCCCACAGGGGCCGGCATAGCAGGTAAAGCTGCCACCTGCAGTGCTGACATCCCATATGGGTGCCGTTTCGAGTCCCAGCTGCTCCACTTCTGATCAAGCTCTCTGCTACGGCCTGGGAAAGCAGTAGAAGACGGTCCCAGTGCTTGGGCCATCTTAATTAGTAATGAGCTGAATAAATCCAGATATAATCACACAGCAGAATACTACATAGATGGCTAAAGTATTGAGGTTAGTTAGCATCAGGGCAAAGCACACAAATGAGGCTCAATATAAACAGAGTGGAGGGACCAGCAGAATTCCTTGTTGATCAGCAAGCTCTGGAAATTCTGTGTTCCTGGGGCCAGCACTGTGGCATAGCGAGTGTTGCAGTGCCAGCATCCCATATGGGTGCCAGTTTGAGTCCCAGCTGCTCCACTTCTGATCCAGCTCTCTGCTATGGCCTGGGAAAGCAGTAGAAGACACCCCAAGCCCTTGGGCCCCTGCACCCATGAGGGAGACCCAGAGGAGGCTCCTGGCTCCTGGCTTTGGATTGGCCCAACTCTGGCCTTTGTGGCCATTTGGTGAGTGAACCAGTGGAGGGAAGACCTCTCTGTCTCTTTGCCTCTCTCGCCTCTGCCTCTCTGTAACTCTTTCCAATAAATAAATAAATCTTAAAAAAAAAAAAAAACAACAACAAAAAAAAACAAAAAACGAAGTGCACACTGTATCCTGGGTTTTCCCCTGTGGTACATAGGTCCTTCCTATGCTCTTTTGTCCAAGTGGGGAGTATATGGGGACTGGGATCAAGTAGGTGGACATCTAGATTCTGCCATTATCTGTCATCAAGTAATTATAATCCTACCTTCCACGTGAGGAAATAGAAGGTTTTGAGAGATCACTAGCATGAAACCAGTGAGAGATCACACCAAGAGTGTGTGACCTTGCCCCATGCCCTGGCTGCAGCCTGGGAAGCTGCTTGAGAAGAACAGACTGTAGGTTATCATTGCGGTCTTGAGATACCTACTGGGTCCTTCTGTGTGGGGACACCACCATGAGTGCCCTGGGCAGGACGCAGAATAAATCAGTGTTGCCCCTGCCCTCCAGGAGCTCCTGATCTAAGGAGAGAGACTCCAAGAGGGAAAAAAAGCCAACTCTCAGAAGGGGCATAATAAAAGCTTATTGCAGAGATTTATGAGCAGGAAAGACAATAAGTTCCTGGTCTCCTGGGAGGCATAGAAGAAAGTTTTATTGTGAAGGCTGCTCTCTGAAGGAAGGGCAATTTCAAGAAATAGCAATGTGTAGGCCTTCCAAGCCCAGGACAATGTGAGCAATGGCAGCGGGGGGCCTGGAGGACACACACAGGGTAAGTGAGTATTTGGGACTCACTGCCACAGAGGAGAGGAGCGTGGAGAGAAGCTGCGACTAGAGAGAGGAATTTCATCTGAAGACAATGTAAGCCAATGACAGAAGGGCCAGTTCTCCAAGGAAGTCTTGGAGCACATTCTCTGCTTGGCACAGGGACCTCCCTGCACCACCGGGAGGCCCAGCATGTCCCTGGACTAGGGTCTGTGGGGTCCTCCCTGGTGTCCACACATAGGAGGGACAGAGCAGGCAGAGAACTAGAGCCTTGGGGTTCAGGCAGGCACACAGCCCCTGTTTCTCATTGTATCTCGGTGTCTTTCCCTGATTTTTAGGTCTATGTGGCTACACCTGAGTGACAGACTCCAAGTCCTGGAGTGAGCCTTTCACAGCCCATGGTCCACCACAGCTGGGAAGTGGTGCTGCAGCTCAGCCTATTGATTAGAGATGTAGAGCAGACTTGTTGGGGAGCTCGACAGGGTATAAAACAGCCAGCTGCAAATCTGTGTTTCCTGGCTCAACGTGAGGAACCCAGAGGGGCTCTGAGGCCATGGCTCTGGTAAAGCAGAGGGTCTGAGAGAGGGAGAGCCCCTGCCATGGGAGACTGTGCCACAAGGGATCCCAACCATCAAGCAGTGGCCAGCCAAGGTCATTGCCTGCAAGGGGATGCTGAGCTCTGCCTCACAACAGTTCAGGGCCCGGCACCTGTAATCTGCCCCAGCCTGCTTCCACGTCAGAATGGAAAGTTCAAGTTGTGTTTCACATCTAAAAGATTAAAATGAATTTCTGGGCAGGCATGGCTGTCTGTTTAGAGACTCCTCACTGTGAACAGGTGAGCTAGATTCATTCCTAGTGGGCCTGTGGCAGACAGAAGGACCAGACACCCCAAGTTTGTGCCCTGGTATTGACTCCCTGCTCTGAATATTTGGCCAAGCCCCCTTGTCCTGTTGAGTTTCACTGCACTCCCCATCCTGCTGACCCAGTAGAAGGGCAAGCCTGAGTCTGCATCTCTCTGATAGAAGCAGACTTTGTGGGATCAAGTCTCCACCTCTTCTTGCCACCTTTCCCCACACTCTAGGGATCCTGCTATTATGCTCATAACAACTGCATCATACTCTGCTCAACAACTACAACCCATGGCAGCACAGTGCCTTCTTGGTGTTTGTAGGCAATACAGTTTAAGCTGCAGTCAATTTCAGTGGGCTCTGGCTTGTCTTAGGTTTCACCCTGCTCTTGGCCCCATGAGATCCTGCACATTCTTCCACCCCTCAGTCGAGACGTTGGTAAGCAGTGTGACCTTGAGTAAGTCAACAAATTGCTGTCTCAGGTTCTTTGTCTGCAATGTGGAAACACATTACAACCCAATCAGAGCTGAGATGCCTGACATAACACTGCACCTAAAAACAATGTTGTCCTTGAGGTTGGCATTCTGGCACAGTGGGTTAACCCAGGGTTAAACTGCTACTTGCGATGCCCATTTCACATATTAGAGGGCCTAAGATCAAGCCCCACTCTGATCCAGCTTCCTGCTAATGTACACCCTAGAAAGCGGCAGGTGATAGCTTAAGTAATTGAACACCTGCAACCCAAGTAGGAAACCTGGATGGAGTGCCTGGTTCCTGGCTTTGGCTTGGCCCATCCCAGCCCTGGAGGTTGCATGTATTTGAGAAGTGAACCAGAGAATGGATAATCTTTCCACTACCCCACCCTTCCCCTTTTATTTTTATCCCCATTACTCTGCTTTTGAAAAAAAAATAAACATTATTTTAAATGCTGTCTTCAGATAATGAAAAATAAAATGGAGAACCGCCCCTCTGATCAAAAGTTGTAGGTTACAGTGAAACCATAAGGACCACTTGTTTCTTCTCATGATTGATCTCCCTACAAAACGCTTCACTTGACGGCTCTCAGCTGTGACCCACTTTCGAGACTGTGCTATTCTAAATGAGGAGCCACCTGAGGCAGCTTGCCCAATCCCAGCTAGAGAAAGAAGGTTTGTTTCCCACCAGGCTTTCCCCCTTCCTAGGGCAGTTTGTCCCTGGAGTGGAAAACTGCTAGAGGTAAGGATGACAGCTGTGCTCCCAAACATAGCTGTCTGAATAATTTAGGCCACCAGGTGCCCCTCCCATGGATCCCCAGAACACTGGGCACTGGCCTCATCAGAGGACTTCCCCTACTGCCGAAGATTCTTTTGGAGCACATCCCCACAAAATTGCGGCCTCGAAGAAGGCAGGAAGCAAGTTATTCTCACCCAAGAGAGCATCTGGCACAGGGGAAGGACTCAAAGAGCGCTCACAGACACGGATGCCTGGCTGACTCAAAGAATCCAAGGGAGTTCATAGGCAAGAGACTCAAAAATATCTGGAGGGCAGAGTATCCAGAAATGCAGAAACAGTTTCTGCTCTCTTTGGGAAGTGCTGCTTGGAGTTCAGAGCAGGCAAGTTTTCTCACTATGTTATACACAAGAAACACAGACACCTTCTTCTTGCCCTATTACAGTGCTTCAGGGGCAACATGGGTCTGGCCCAAACATCTCCAGCTCCAGCTCTGACTCCACTTCCTTCCCTGGTGTGACCCTAAGATATTTTAACCTCAGTCTCATTCCTGTATTCCTGCAACCTTGTAGGGTTAGAATATTGAGTTGAGACCTCATGTGCCAGATGAGAACAGGGACAGACCACAAGTAGGACTGAGACAAGCACACACATAGTCTTTCTCCATCTGCCTGCGTTAATTTTTAATAAGGCAAACAATGAATGTTTGTGCTTCCTTCCTAAAATATTTTGACTAGCGATTTCTTGAGTGGGAAGGATTTAACCAGGCTGTCTTCAAAACAGTGAGCAAAGAAAACAAAGTGAAACATGCTAATTTCAAGAAGATTATAAATTACAGCATGGTTGACATCAAGCAATTTGGGAAAATATTAAAAGTGTGGGAGAGGATGGGGAAAGAGCTTCCCACATGTGCCCCATTGAGCACACACCCTCCCACCTAGGATGTGGCTATTTGACAATCAGGGGTGCTGTTGTATCTTGCAGTATAAGCAGTGTTTCAACAACATCTTTACACAAGTAGACCATGCAGGCCCCAAGTCACAGAGCCCTGGACACATCAGGTCTCAATCGCACCTCTTTCTTCACCTGCTAGACCAAACAGAATTCCATCTTCCACAACTGTCTTCACACCCAATGAGTCCTCTTTCTTCTTCCCAGTTCATTTCAGTCTTTTCTTTTTACTTCACTGCACAAGGTGAAGCCTGAGAGAATCTGGAGGCCCCATTGGGTCCTAATGGCTGAAGGGAACATTCTGCTTTTGCTGCTCCTGTCCTCCATCCTTGAGCTGCAAGGGCCTTGCTTAGCCCTGCAGAGCATTGTCAGGGCCTAAACACAGTCCAGGCTCTCCATAAGCAAGGGAGGCTGCTGCATCGTGAAGTTCACTTGCTCTATGTTTGAAGGTTCCAGCTAGCATATCTGTATGCAAAGATTCTGATCTCACCATAACCAATGTTCCCAACCACTCTGAGAACTGAACTATTGAACTACAAATTCCTGGCACTGCCCAGCTGTGAGCTCCCCACATCCCTAAGAAAACTAATGTGAAAGTTTCCACGCACTTTCTGGGAAACTCTGACTTCCCCACTTGCCTGTGAAAGCAGCCTGCTCACCAACGAATCCTACATCAACTCCCTCCTGTCCCTGCGCACTCCTCACTCACGTACTGCAGCATCCTGGGGCCATACCTTGTATTTAAGTCCTCACCACTGAGTCTGCTGCGGCCCAGCTCCAGGTGGCCAGAGCAGGACTATTATTAGGATGAAGACCACTGCCATCTGCAAGCCCCTCTGCTAGGCATGGATTCTTACCCATGGGGGACTTTGTGACAAGCAGGGCTGATTTCTGCCCTTTCCAAGCCTGGTTTTATTGACAAATGCACTAAACTTGGCTTGAAACAAAATGTTTTTTAGCTCTGTCCTAAACAGGCTGATCCACAGACAAAGCACTGCCTCTCCCTTTGCTTTCTCTCCACCACTCCAGGCATGATTTGTTCATGATCCTTGGTTGACCTTTTTATTTCAGTGGAGGACGGAGACAAAAATACTTTTTAAAAATTAAAATACAAAGACAAATCTCCCCACTGCATTCGTGCAAACAAATGGTTACAGCTGAGGATGAAGTCTGTGACCAACGGACAGGCACAGCCTCTGCTCCCCCCAGCATGATTTTAGGGGATTCCTCCAGCCAGGCTAACTGGGGGCTATAGGCACTTCTTTGTTCTGCTGAAGAGGGAGAAGGAAATAGAAGAAAGAACAGTTGAGACTGGCACAGACCAAGGTTAGACCCTTGTCCTGAATTCTGGGTTTGTTTTGTAGTATTTGTTTGTTTGAAAGGCAGAATACTAGAAAGAGAGGGTGGGGGTGGAGAGAGAGAGAGAGAGATCTTCCATCTGCTGGTTCACTCTTTAAATGGCTACAACAGCCAGTGCTAAGCCAGGCTGAAGCCAGGAGCCAGGAATTCCATCCAGATCTCCCACTTGGGTGGCAGAGACCCATGTTACTTGGGCTATAATCTACTGCTTCCCAAGGATCAGTAGGGAACTAGATTAGAGGTGTAGTAGCCTGGACTTCCACTGGCACTCTGATATAGGATGTGGGCATCCCCAGTGGTGGCTTAACCCACTGGGATGCAAAACCTACCCCTAATTTCTGGGGTTTAGGGAGTCCCTTCACCTAAAAGATTCTGTTTCCCCTTTAGTCCCACCTTTGCTTTTTAGTTTTTTTCTGGGTAATTTAAATGTTGGTTTTTGCCTGAATATTGTAGCAGGCACAGTCAAAATTGAGCTAGATCATAAATATTTTTAGTGCCAAGAACATGGTTCTCTGTGTGTCCTCAGTGCCTAACCCAGGGTCTGGTACACAGCAGGTGTGTTCAATCAACAAATAATGAACTAATCAATCAACCAATCATCCTACTGACACAAAGAGGTTCAATATAAAAAACATAAACAGCAAAACAAACTTGTTATAATACTAATCATGAATAGATTCAAACACACACACACACACACACACACACACACACTCAGAGTTCTAGGTGTGGGAAACATGTAACAGTGTTTCAGGTCCTGAAGCAACTTCTAGGGAGCCTGCAGGCTTCTTTCTCAGCATATTCTAAACATATTCTAAACCAGTTCCCAGCATTTAAAGCCAAGTGAACATCATTTTCCTATTTGCCAAGTTGTTAAAACATGTTTGCTTCTGATGTGCTGGCTCAGTGATTACTCGAACCTTCCACTCTATTTCTCACCATAAAAGGTTCTTCTGTGGATTAAATGAATTATTGCAGGAAAAAATGCATAGAATAGGATCTGCACACAGTAAACTCTTAGAGAATGGTTAGCTATTATGATTTTCTGACTTCTGAGCAGTGGTAGAATTAGCAAGATGATGTGACTATTTCTCTGTTCTAAATTCCCATCAAATTAGTCTTGAAACTTGGTAGCTTTGGGATCCGCATGGAAGGAAGTCCTATACTTCCAGGAATGGAAAGTTCCTACCTGTACTTGCTGGGAAGAAAGTCCTTGTCAAGGTCACTGCTGGTGCCTAAAGGTCCACCAATGAGGATCAGACCTGCCTCAACCTTTAACCCCCATGCCCTGAATCTATAAAAGGAGCTCTCCCAATCTCTGACAGGTGACTTCCCCAGCCCCCAGCTCTGTTGCTCTGTTGGGGCTGGGGAACCTCGCCTGGGAGCAGAACCCCAATAAAAGCCTGTGAATTAATTGATTCGTCTGTCTGGGAAGATTTGTTACGTGCTGGACACCTTACAAAACTCTACCCAAATGTCACTTCTCAGCAATAGGTGTGACTAAAACTGGTGCCAATAACTTTACAATATTCTGATCTACAAATTCTCCAAGTCAGAGAAACCAAATTAAGACGCACCTCTCCTTCACACGCTAGCTCAGCTCCACTGCATCCATGATCATCTCACCAGCTCCCATGTCAGAAATAAACTCTCCAAGCCTAGGACTAAAGGAAAGCCAGCCCTTGCAGGTAGCCTTGCCCTGACTGGTGGTCCTGGGACCCGACTCCATTCAACACTGCACAGGGAGGAAACAGATCTGAGCACTGTGCTTTCACACCCACTCTCTTGCCCTGCCCAGTTCCCTAGAAGGTAGGTGTCTGATGAGAAAAGGGCATGTGAACAGACTCAAGATGCATAACCCAGAGAGAAGTCCCTATCAGGAACCCTGCATCCCTTCAGCTACTATGCAAGCAGCTCTATTCAAGACCTCCAAGGAGTGAAATCTTTGGTTTGCATTGTTATGCTTAAGCACAGAAAGAGCATTAACCCTCAAGGAGCCCTCAGCCACTTAAAGTGGAAAAGCACACTTTGGTTCTGGACTCTGGACTCATTTACAGATGAATGGGAACTGGGGGTAGGGGTGAAGAACTTTCCCACTCCCTACCCAGTCTTTCCTGATCTCCAGATTATCTGCAGAACTCTGCTCTCCTTGGGTCCTGGAAACTCAAGACCATCCCAATCCATTTAGCAATCCTGTCCATGCCATGTTCCATGAAATGTGGGCTTTATGATTGTAGCTGAGAAAGAATAAAAGATAGAAGCATAGCAAGGGACAGAGAGTTATTCAGATTTGTTAGTAAGGCAGCTTGCCAATGTAAACATAGAATTAGCTACCTAGAAATTCATTCATTTAAAATTTAAATGTAAACTCAAAAAAATAAAACAAAACCTGATTTAAACAACTCCTAGTGGGAAGGCTTGACTGTAGCCTACAGGAGTAATGAATGAGAGGGCATGAGAATGCAGTAGCACATGGGACAGTTTTGTTTAAAAAAAAAAAAAAAAGCAGCAATGCCCAAAACCTTGGTGATAGCTGTGTACTCATTTCCTAGGGTTCCCCAAACAAAGTCCCACAGACCACGGGCTGGAGCATCAGGGGTGTAATGTGCACTATCCCAGCTCTGGAGGCTCAGAGGTGGAGAGCAAGGTGTCTGCAGGGCTGGTTCCTGGAGAGCTGTGAGGGGAACTTGTTCTTTGCCCCTCTCCTAGCTCGGGCAGCCTCAGGTGCTCCCCATCTGCAGACCGTGTCGTCCTGTGTCTTTGTCTCATCCTCCCCTGTATGTGTCTGCCTCCATATCCAAAAATCCCCCTTTTCTAAAGATGCCAGTCCAGTTGGATTAGAGCCCACTCTGGCATTATCTTAATTATATCATCTAACCAGACCCCACCACAAAGAAGGTTGCATTCACAGCCACTCCAGGTTAAAACATCAACAACCTCGAGGCGGCCACAGTTCAATCCTTAAAAAACTGAAAGGTTTCATTCCTAGTCTTCATTCCAAATAATTTCCACAAATGAATAGTGCCTAGGGCACATTTAGGTCTACAGAAACTCACTGGGGGTGGGTGTTTGGCTAGGGGTAAGCATACCTGGGGTTCCAATTACATACCCGTGGTGGATTCCCAGGCCCCAGCGCCTGACTCCAGCTTCCTATAAATAGAGACCCTGGGAAGCAGTAGTGATGGCTTAAATAATTGTGTATCCTGCCACCCATGGGGAACCAGGATTGAGTTCTTGGCTCCTGACTTTAACTCTTGCCCAGCACCTTGTGGACATTTAGGGAGTCAACCAGCTGATGGAAGATTTCTCTTTTTCTATGTGCCTCTCAAAAAAATAAATAAATAAATAAAAATCTAATAAACCAAATGTTGCACATTGAACAAAATTTTGTGGATTTTTTTTTTTCAGAGCAGAGTCTTCCAATATGTAGGGCAATTCAGAAACTACAACAATTTTTCCAGGTACTATCAGTATTAGCTTCCTAAGGCTGCTGTAAGAAATCAGCATATATTTGGTAGCTTAATGCAGCAGCAATGTATTATCTTACAATTCTAGAGACCAGAAGTCTGAACTGAGTCTCACTGGATTGAAGTCAAGGTGCTGGTGAGGCTACACGCTCCCTAATGCCTTTTGCTGCTCCTCCTAAGGGTCACATATATTTCTTGGTTTGGGCCCTAACTTCCACCTTCAAAATGCACCACTCCAATCTCTGCTTCTAGCATGGCATTGTTTTCTCCTCATCTATTGTAGAGTTTCCTTCCACCTTTCTCTTCCAAAGACCCACCAGGAACATTCAGGACAATCTGCCCAACACCAGACCCTTAATTCAATCACATGTGTGAATTTCCCTCTTCCATGTAAGACTGCCTTCACAGGTTCCAACTATTAGGGCCTGATCATCTTTGGAGACCATTCCTCAGATTTCAATATCATATATCCTACATCAAATCAAAGTTCAATTTATTTTCAGAAAGGAAAACCTTGCCCTTAACAGAGCATTAGTTGAGGGCTGGCATTATGGTATAATGGGATAAGCCACCACTTGCGACATGGGCATCCCATATCAGAGTGCCAGTTCATGACCCAGCTGCTCCACTTCCAATCCAGCATCCGACTAATGCCCCTGGGAAGGCAGTAGAAGATGGCCCAAGTGTTTGGGTACCTGCTGTGATGTCAGACCCAGATGAAGCTCTGTTTCTGGGTTCCTGGCTCTGGCCTGGTATAGCCCCTGCCATTGTAGCCATTTAGGGAGTGAATCGGTGGATGGAAGATCTCTTTCTCTGGCTCTCCCGATCTCCATTGCACTCTTTCAAATAAAGAAAATAAATCTTACAAAGTAAAATAAAACCAGAGCATTAGCTTGCTAGATATTTCCCCAAATTTCTTCCCAGTTTTCTTCTCATAGATTCTTCTATTTAACATCTTATCAAGGAGGAGTCTGATTTCAAGCACAGCGATGTCCAACTGAGACATGTAAACAGTAGGAAGGTGTTGCTATGGATTCCTTCTGAGAGGAGGAGTGTGGTGGGGGCAAGAGATATGGAGTCACCACACAGACCCCCGGAGTTGGGTGAAAGCAGGCCAGAGGTGAGCAGCCCGCAGACTCATTTATTTCAGTTGGTACAGCAGCTTAAATAGCCAAGCCAGCCAATCCAGTCAAGGGGTGGTTTATGCCCTAACCAATCACAACCTGTTGCCAGGCAGTATCTGAAACCATCCAATCACAGCTTGTTGCCAGGCAGGCTCTGTTGCCATGTGGTTTCCAAAGCCATCCAATCACAGCCTGTTACCAGGCAGGCTCCCTTGCCAGGTGGATTTCAAAGCCATTCCTGAGTAACTGACACTCACTTGCCAGCGGCCATCTTGGCATGACCTTCTCACCTTCTCATTGCACTACATTTCCCCCTTTTCGTTTATTTTTGAGCAACGGGAGGCATGATTCTTGGCCATGCCATTGTTGACCCCGTTTCCATGTGGTCTCCATACGCAGCTGTGCCTGTCTTAGGTTGTCCCCCAGGGGATCTTACCCGTCGTTGACTAACCAGCACTCAAAATGGGAGACCACAGGAGTGCTTGCTCAGAAGGGGTAGGAATGAGGAACAGTGGTAATCAGGAATGGCATGACCACATGCAGGCTGTGGGCCATTTGAGTGGCTGACCAGAGCTAGTGGGGTACAAAGCAGTAATGGATGTGGCTATGGGCAGTTCCTCAGGGTAGGATGATTGGGGAGGTGCGTCCGCTAACAAGGCGGGCTCTCAGTCTTGTTCAGCTGGTTCTGGTTGACTGTCAGTTGCAGGCTTGATGTTTCTGGCTGGGACCCAAATTGGCTGTCCCGCATTTTCTGGAAAGACACAAGCATATCCTCGGCCCTTGGTTAGCAGAAGACTTTCTACAGGTGTTGGAATCCAGGGTCTGAATTCTGCATCTGCTCCTAAATTAACAGCAAACATGCAGGTGGGATGGGGTCTAGTGGCTGCCCTGAGAGCCTGGGGTGCCTGAGGACTGCCGCAAACATGGGGATTCTCACTGAGTGCGGATGGGATGACCTCATGTGGGTTATTACCTCGAGGTCATCTGTGTTCATCCTACAGGTATTTGGGGGATGGCTGACCAGGCATTGCTGTGTTGTCTGCAATTTCACTGTCATTTCACTGTTGCAGCTCTCTCTCCCCAAATCATCAACTGTTGCCTGTGAGGCAGAGGCCTGGAGTGATAGGCTCTGATCACTCACAGATTTCTGATCACTCAAGCATTTAGGCTGTCTTCCACTGCTTTCCCAGGCTATCAGCAGAGAGCTGTATCAGAAGAGGAACAGCTGGGACATGAATGGGCACCCATATGGAATGCTGGCACAGCAGGCAGAGGCTTAGCCCAATACACCACAGTGCGGGCCCCTGCATGAAGTTTTTGAAGTGCCCTCATATGTTTGCTACTTAGGAGAAAATGTGTTTTTATCTTAAAACTCAAGTGCTCTTTTTTTCCTTATCAACTGAGAGATGATGGTGTATGATGCATTGTCTTTTTTTTAAGATTTATTTATTTACTTGAAGGGCAGAGTTAGACAGAGAGACAGAGAGAGGGGGGTCTTCCATCCACTTGTTCATTCCCCAAATGGCCGCAAAGGCCGGAGCTGGGGCAGTTGGAAGCCAGGACCCAGGAGCTTCATCCAGGTCTCCCACGTGGGTGGCAGGGGTCCAAGCACTTGGGGCATCTTTTGCTGCTTTCCCAGGCATGTTAACAGGGAAATCAATTGGAAGTGGAGCAGCCAGGACTCAAACTGGTACCCATGTGGGATGCTGGCACTGCAGGAGGTGCTGCTACACCACAGCACAGACCATGCTACACTTTGAAATAAGAGAAACAAGAACTCCAGTATGCCTTGGATTTTACTTTTAAATAACTAGTTTTTAAATATGTATTACAACAGATCTACAGAAAGCAAAAGAACTGATTTCTCAACCACAGTTCACTGGATGAGCTTTCCCTTTTCCAGCCTAGGCAGCAGGGAGTGAAGAAGAGCCTGCCTGTTTCATCCGGTGACGTGGCTCAATAGGCTAATCCTCTGCCTTGCGGCACTGACACACCAGGTTCTAGTCCAAGTCGGGGCACTGGATTCTGTCCCAGTTGCCCCTCTTCCAGGCCAGCTCTCTGCTGTGGCCCGAGAGTGCAGTGGAGGATGGCCCAAGTGTTTGGGCCCTGCATCCCATGGGAAACCAGAAGCAGCTGGCTCCTGGCTTTCAGATCAGCAGTGGTGCACTGGACGCAGCGCGCCAGTTGCGCCGGCCATTGAAGGGTGAACCAACAGCAAAGGGAAGACCTTTCTCTCTGTCTCTCTCTCTCTCTCTCACTGTCTAACTCTGCCTGTCAAAAAAAAAAAAAAAAAAAAGAGAGAGAGAACCTGCTTGTTTCTCTGGAGAAAGTGAAGGCTCTGAAGCTATCTTCCCGTACCCCTTCCAACTCAGAAAACCAAGGATAAAACAGCTTCGTCTGCTTGCAATGGTCTAACAAAATGCCTGAGGGTAGGTGATTCACAAAAGATAGAAATTCACTCCTCCCAGTGCTGGAGCGTGGGGAGCACCTGTGAGGGCAGCACAGGTTTGGTGTGTCCAGTGAGGGCTGCCGCGGGCTTGCAGGATGATGCCTCACTGCTGTGCCCTCAGCGGAGGGAAAGGCAGCACCCACTCCCTCCACCCCGGCAGTCCATCATCTGTGAGGGCCTCACTGTCAGGACTTAACCACACCCTAAGGGCCCACCTCTTCACACTACAACATCGGCAATTAACTTCCAACATGGGAACCATGAGGGGAACTTGTGTGTAGGGGGTGTGCACATTCAGGACAGAGCAGGGGCCTTTGGTTTTCTGCCAGGAACAAGGGACCAATAAGACAGAAAGAAGATGAATTATCATGAAAAATAGTCATTTTCCTTTAGATGCTTCAAAAAGAACTAACTTGGTATCACTCATTGTTCTACACACTTGAGGATCAGAGGTAATCAGGAAAAATGTCCTGGAATTGAAAGAAGAAATCTGCAAAGTTGCATTGAATAAAAAATAAGGGAACAATAGTGACACATTTCACAACAGAAATATTTACTGTTCTATAGAATGTAATCATTCCCTGATCGACTCATGCCCTTCTTGTGCTTCCAATTTAATCACAAAATGCTTTTGAACTCCTTCCCCATGTGTTCTGGATTCTTATCCCACCTGTCTTTCAAGTTTTATCTTTAAAATTCATATTCACTCATTCTTATGCTTCCCCCCCGAATTTGGGATAATTACTCAAGCTTGTGGAATCAGCCAGCTGACTACCAAACATTGTGATAACAAACAATCCTGACATTTCAGTGCTTCTAATAAGAAAGGATTCTATTTCCCTTGTGCTATGTGGGCATCAGCTGCCCCAGGTTACTTGTAGATAGGCCCTGGGCTGAATGAGCAGCCCCATATGGTTTTCCATGGCTGTCTTCAGAGAGAAGCGAAGAGAAGAGAGTGGGGCCCAACAGGTGGTCAAAGTCCCGGTTCAGCATCATACTCATTAAGTCCACTCACTCACTTTTTGCTGACCAAAGTACATCAAGTGCCTGTCTGTGACAGAGAGGCATTCGTCAGACAGGCAAAGTATTATCAAGTTACATAAGTAATCTGCAGAGGGCCTGTGGGGAGAGGAATGAGGATATTTGGCATAGGAGTAACAAAACATTAGGCTAGATATGTAGTTCTATCCTTTGTGTGTTGTTTCTTGTTTGGTTTGGTTATGTAATACCCACTACTTCTGCTGAAATTTTAATTTAGTTTAGTGATCATTGTTTTATCAGTGGGATTTTTGTTGTTGTTCTCAAATATTTTTAATCTTTAAAATTTACTAATGTATTTTTTTCAATTTCTGTTTTCTTGAGTTCACTTTTCTCATTGTTTATACTGTTCGCTGGACAAATGAATTGTCAAAGATCTTGTGGTACTAAGAGACACACGTGAGAACATTTATGTCATGGTTTAATGGATTTGCTCTGTAGTCCATGTTCATGTGTGTGAGGTAGGGTAGAATCCTTCCCCTAAACTCCTAGAGGGCTTTCCTTCCTACTCACCAACCCTTCCCTACTGTCACATGCTCCCTTGATCACTGAATTTCTTACATATTTTGTGCTTTATTGACTGTGTGCATTTATCCCTATTACAAGAGTAGGGTCTTTTCAGTAGGACATTGGAAGAAGGATAAAAACACGAGCTTTGTTTGGTCTCATGATCATTTTAGAGAGTTAATGAAATGGGTATTTAATCCAAGAAGCTAAGACATAATTCTTAAACCAAATCAAACTGAGAAAAACATCATAACTGATATATAGAGTACTTTTTCTTTTACAAAGTCAGTAAAATCAAGCAAGTTTGATACAGGAAAAATGAAAATACACTCTTCTGGAACAATAAACATATTTTCAGATAGAGGGGAAATTTTTAATTTAATATTTAAAATATTTAATAACATTTCAAAAGACTGAAAGCATTTCAACTTGTTTTACTAGATGAGCCCAACCCCTGAAAATAAAATTTGACAAAGAGAACTCTCAGAAATAATCTATGTACCGATCTTTCCACTAAAAATAAAGGATACATGAAATGATTAAAATCAGAGGCTTAGAAATTAATTGGAACTACATTAAAATTCTTGCTCTATTGCAAAGAAATATTTTATGACTCGGACACTTAACTGTTCTAAATCATTTTCCTGAAGTAAAGTAATGACACATACCTTAAGAATAATGTTAAAGGTAAAAATTATGTAAGTACATTTTAAGATATTTTATGCATTCAGCTTATGTCTGATCATGCTTATTCATGCATGAGGAGGAGGAGAAAGAAGAGGAGGAGTAAAATGCTGAAATGGCTGTAAATTGTAACATCATAAACCAAGTCTGATAAAATTGAATCCTGTGGCATAATATAAAACAGAGTCAAAAAATAATAAAGACTTTATCTGGAAATTCAACAATAATTTAATAGAAATATACATTATTTAACTCATCACATAAGAGGAAGAAAAATGCATGAATCTCTTAGTAGATTCTGGGAAAGTAAAAGGTAAATGTCATTGAAGAAAATCAGAATCCATAGAAAATATTGTTCATATTTTGAAGCATGCTAATAAATCAAGAAGGAAAAAGGAACCCTAACATCACCAGAATGTTTTTTTGTCCTAGAACCTCTAGCTATGCCTCAAAGGGGAAAAATGTATAATTAGAAGCTAAAATGACCCAAATTATCATGATTTGCAAGTATGAATGCTTACTAGGAATTAATCGAGATGTCTATCAACTGATGACTGGATAAAGAAACTGTTGTACATATACACTAGGAAATACTACTCAGCCATAAAAAGGATGATATCCTGCCTTTTGTAACAAAGTGGATGCAACTGGAAACCATTATACTTAGTGAAATAAGCCAGTCCCAAAAGGACAAATATCGTATTTTACCAGATCTGTGTACATTTGTGTACCAAAAATGTAATGTGTAGCAGTGAAACTGACATTTTAAGATTCGATAATTGTTTACATCCCTTGTCTCTACTGTTGAGGAACAGCGTTTGTGTAATTCGTATTTTTGTTGAACTATTCACTTATCAAAAATATATCATTATAAAAATTAAGAGAGGAAATAAGAAAAGAAGGAGGAAGAAGGGTGGGAGCATGCGTGGGAAGTACCACTGTGTTCCTAAATCTGTATCCATGAAATACATGAAATGTGTTTACCTTAACATTTTTTTAATTTAAAAAAGAGATAAAAATTAAAAATAGCATGTTAAAATGTATGACGACAATTAAGGATCATTTTAGGTTACAAAAGTAATCTTTACAAAAGAAAAAGCTTTTATATCAATACTCACAAACTGGTGCTATTAAGAATAAAGTTATTTTGATATTATGCAACAAATAGCATGGCCTAATATAAATTTAACAAGACTTACCTGAAAGAAATGACACATGTCTAACGAATGTAATATTAGGACCTCACATGTTCCTGAAGGAAAGACACAATTGCAAAAATGTCATTTTCTCCTACATTAATCTATAAATTCATCAACAACATTAAAATGGGGATATTGATTTGTACTGGAATCACATTTATTTGTATGAAAATAGAAGAAATGTTCACAAAGAGTAATGAAAGAACACATATTTCAGGCCACATTAAAAGCCTCAATGATTTAACCCAAGTAATCAGGGTGCACACACTGAAAATGGGGCAAAGAACATGAGCTCAGATTTCTAAAGCAGACAAAATGAAACATAGTCTACGATACAGGCAAATCTCATATGTATAAACAATGTATTATTTATTATAATTGGTGACAGGAAAACTGGCTAAATTTGGACAAAATGAAACTGGATTCTGATTAACCATTCAACACAATGGGGTGGGGGCGGGGCCACAGAGAGGCTCTGATGGTGCCTTTCATCTGGACGCTGTATTTTTGTGTTCCTGAATGATATCTTCACTGTAGTGAAGGGACCGAAGGAGCTAGGGAATTACGGAGTGCTTCTGCACGATGCTGCCCTGCTGATCGCCCTCATTTTCAGCATGTCTCCACTGCAGACCTAGATTCATCCAATGGAAGAATGTTCCATTTATCACACAGTTTCTTCCTTCCCTGTTTTGGGGGGTTTGTACTGATGCACCCCACAGTTGTGTGCAGCTATTATAGTTTGGCCCTGATGATGACTGCCAGTCAGTGCTGTCAGTCATATCCCTATTGCCTGCACTGGGATGTGAGCTGGTGGAGATGATACCTTCTCCGTGGTAAACTATCTCAGGGCAGGGCACCTGAGATACTCCTTTTTAACACTAAAGAGTCAGTCAGAACCTCAATAACTGTTGAATGAAGAAACTGTCCCTCCAGATTTGAAGAGCTAGGGGTAGAGTTGGCATTCCCAGGAGGATCGAGAAGCCAGAGCACAAGTGGGAGCTTCTGTGAAGCACAGAGGACTCCCCATCTGCCATCCTCATGGCCTGTGCTGAGAAGGAGGCTGGCACTGTGATCTGCCTGTTTGAGTAGCAGCACCACGGCCTTAATTTCAAAGGTGCTGTCCCCAGCAAAGTGCCAATGAGAACATTTTTTTTTTCAGTGTAAACAGACACACCTTTATTTCAATAAAATTAATCAATTAAATGCCCCCCAAAATTAGGTTCTGATCTCTAGCTTCCATCTAAATGATTCCAGAGAAATTCAAGATTCAAATAATGGAAATACAATTTTAAGATAACTTGAAAAACTGTAATCTAGGGATAAGAACATTCTGAGCTTGGCATGTAAAGGACAGGTAAGAGTCACATGAAAAACTCGTGAAATTAAAATACATATGAAAAATAATCTAATACATAGCAATAACTAATATGTGCTATTAAATTGCTTATATATAATTATTAATGCAATATTAATAGTATACACAGCAAACCAAACAGAATCTCAGTTAAAAAAGAAGAAAAAAATATAGGAAATCCCCTAGGAGACCAATGTCAATGGCTTATAAACAAAACACATCAAAGTTATCAGCAAATTAAGAAATACAATTTAGAAAAAATAGCAATATAAATAGTTAAATGTTGTTAAACATTGTACCTTTTGATCCAAAAAAAAGCAAAGCTAAAAATAACAATAATCAATGTCATCAATGTCATTCAGAATCGGTTACTCCTAGCCAGAGGCAAAGTTAGCATAACCTTTTTAGGAGTGATCTGATAATGAGTAGATTTTAAACAGAAAGTTCTAAGACTGCCTATCCTTTATTTTTATTATTTTTGTTTGTTTTGACAGGCAGTTAGAGAGAGAGACAGAGAGAAATGTCTTCCTTCCGTTGGTTCACCCCCCAAATGGCTGCTACGGCCGGCACACTGCACCAATCCAAAGCCAGAAGCCCATGTGGGTGCAGGGCGCAAGGACTTGGGCCATCCTCCACTGCACTCCCGGGGCCACAGCAGAGAGCTGGACTGGAAGAGGAGCAACCGAGACAGAATCCAGCGCCTCAACTGGGACTAGAACACGGGGTATCAGCACCACAGGCAGAGGATTAGCCTAGTGAGCTGCGGTACCGACCTATTTTTATTCTTTAAAGATTATTTTTTTTAAAAATTATTTGAAAGGCAGAGAGAGAGAGAGAGAGAGACATCTTGTATCCACTGGTTCACTCCTCAAATGGCCACAGAAGCGAAGTGTGTGCCAGGCTATATCAGGAGACAGGAACTCTATGCAGATCTCTCACATGGCTGGTGGGGGGCCCAAACACCCAGGCCATCTTCGCCTTCTTCTGATGCCTCCCTTGGCACATTAGCAGGAAGCTGGATGAGGCAGAGTAGCCAGGACTCAATCCAACATTCCAGTGTGTGATGCCAGTAGTGGCTTACCCCACTGCATCACAACACCAGCCCCTTGACTATCCTTTAACTCTGCAAGTTCATTTCTAAAATTTATACTGAAAGTATAATTGAAAAAATTTATGAAGATATATTTTCAAGACTCACTGTAAAATTTAGCAAATAACAAAATAATAGATCTAAACTAATTAATAAATACCTGACTACATCAAACACTATGATACCATGGAATGCTAGCTTGCATTAAAAATAATGATGCAGAGCTCATTTTGTAGAAAAATGCACTGGATTTTTTAAAAAATTGGGTGCTCTTTCAGTAAGCATGTATATATTAATTTTAGAATCATAATAGTGGAATTTAGCTATGTACTTTTTCCTAATTTTGGTAAAAACACATGAAAACAGAGTGTAACTTTCTGAAATCATTCTGAGGGCAAAATAGTGTATATTTATTAAAAGCCTTAAAGCTGCCCAAACTTAAAAGGGTAATTATACTTGTAAGAAATTATCTTAAAGGAACTCTGCTCCGCGTGAGAACAGGGCTGTTTCTGTAAAGCCCCCTCCTTTACAGGGGACAGCTTGTCCTTCATGTCACCACCAGCCTCTAAGGGACAGGGGCCTAGGGATCAAACGTGTTCTAGGCTGCCCTACATGGTATTGTTAATATAAAGGATGGGTCATTTGGAGGCTGAGCAGCTAGGGACACAAGAGTCCCTAATACAAGGATCCGTGGGTGCTCTGGGTCCCCTCATCTACTGCATGTCCTCTCCACAGAGAAATGCAAAGGGCATATGGCCCCTGGCTGACTTCACAGGGTTGTCTGGTGCTGGGGATACCCAAACACCTGGTTAACTCATGCTGTATTGTACCCAGCTTGGGGACAAGAGCAATCACCTCACAAGAATGAACATATATATACCTTTTATAAGTATATATACAGGCTTATACATATGTGTGTGTATGTATGTGTACATATCTTTTACTCAAATCAGAAATACTACGATCTAATTGCCAAGTGTTTGCAGCCTTCCTTTTCCGGTTCCACAGAGAGAGTTGGAGGGTCCTCTGTGGAAAGTGAAGCTGCTAATGAAGGCAGAAGACAGGGTGGGGAACAAGCATGGGATGCATGATTGGGACACTGACCTGTGTCATAACCAGTATTATTTCATCTTCACAAGAAACCTTCCATAGATAGTAGATGCTGTGTTTCCACTTGAGTCTTAAAGGTGTCAGGACCTCTGGCCAGTCACACACTCTGTAAGGAATCCTAGATCCAGTATTTCAAACTCAGGCTGTTCAAACTCTTCATCCATTCCCCACACTGAAAACACATAAAGGTCAAAAATGGATTACTGCTATTGCAATCCATGAAGAAAATTTTTTAAATTATTAAATCTCATTTAATAATTTTATTATTAAATTATTAAAATGTTAGTAGTTATTAGTTTAGTAATTATTAAAATATTAGTTTAGTAATTATTAAAAATAATAGATTAGAAGATAATTGTACAGGAAATGTCACAACTTATAAAGCAGAAATAAAAATGAGGTCAGTTCAGGGGAGGGCATTGTGGCACAGCAGGTTCAGCCACCACTTGAGAGATCAGCAACTGATTATTAGAGTGCTTATTAGAGTCCTGGCTACCCACTTCTGATCCATCCCCCTGCAAACACACCTTGGAAGCAGCAGATGATTGTTCAAATTCCTGCCGCTAATACGGGAGACCAGGATAGGTTACTGGTTTCTGGCTTCAGCCTGGCCCATGCCCAGAAGTTGCAAGCACTTAAGGAGTGAACCAGTGGATTTATTTCTCTCTCATTTTCTGCCTTTCAAATAAATAAATAGTTGTTCAAGATAGTTCTGGTACACATGCAATGGAAAAATACTGGAAATGTATTATAAAAGCTAACAGTGGGCCGGCGCTGTGGCTCACTAGGCTAATCCTCCGCCTGTAGCACCAGTTCTCCATGTTCTTGTCCCTGTTGGGGTGCCGGATTCTGTCCCAGTTGTTCCTCTTCCAGTCCAGCTCTCTGCTATGGCCCGGGAGTGCAGTGGAGGATGGCCCAAGTGCTTGCGCCCTGCACCCACATGGGAGACCAGGAGGAAGCACCTGGCTCCTGGCTTCGTATCAGCACAGCACGCCAGCTGTGGTGGCCATTTGGGAAGTGAACCAATGGAAGGCAGACTGTTCTCTGTCTCTCACTGTCTAACTCTGCCTGTCAAAAAAAAAAAAAAAAAAAAAGAAAGAAAAAAAGTTAACGGTGGTGGAATTATAAGTAAATTTTTTCTCTGTATTTTTATTTTTTAAAGGTAGATGGAGGCTAAGCCCTTATTTTTTTATATATTTCATTTTTATTTGAAAGGTAGAGAGACAGACGGAGAGAACTTTCATCACTGGTTCAGTCCTCATAAGCATGCAACAGCAGGGGCCGGGTCAAGCTAAAGCTAGGAGCCTAGAACTCAATTCAGGACTCCCACATGGGTAGCAGGGACCCAAGCACTTCAGCCATCACCAATTCCTCCCATTAATGCCTACTGTGCACTAGTGGGAAGACAGAATCAGAAGCGGAATGGGCACTCCACCCAGGCCTTCGTATAGGGGACGAGGGCTCTGGAACAGCGAGCGTCTCAAGTGCCACATCAAACGCCCATCCTCTTTGTGTTTTTAAATTTCCACAATACCTATTAATATTTGTGCAACTGGGAAACAATAATAAAAGAAGCTCCCACATGTGCTTCTGTGTGAGCTACCATAAAGACGTCAGCACAAGGCCAGGGAGGGAATTAGAACTCTTCCTTTGGGGTGCGTCTTTTAACGTGTTAGATCTGGAGATAACCGAGCTGCTAGAGGAACAGTGGAATTACTGGAAGTGACATCTGCAAGGGACCTCACCGATCACTGCACTCAGCCTTGGCATTTTGCAGATGGGGACAGGGAGAGCAGAGGAATCCGAGAAGACAGTGAGCATCCTTGACCCAGGCACTCATCGCCTTCTTAACAGGATGGAGCATGGACATTCATTCCTCCAAAAGTTTCCTGTCACTAGGCCCTGAATAAAAGTCAACGTCTTATAAACAGCAGCTCTTTAGCCTCTGCCCTGACCACAGAATTGAACAAGCTTAGAAAACAAGGCGGGTTTTGCAGCATTCACTTTTCCTTTGCAAACCACTGGGATGAAAAACCAAAGTCCCAGCCCTCATCCCCTCCATCGAGGCTGTCTTGTTCTTGCTTCCCTCAGCTGAGAAGGACAAGGCTTCTCAGAAGGCATTTTCTCTGTCATGTGTGTTCTGATTATGAAAACATGACATCATAAGTGTATGAAATGTGGAAAATAACATAGAAAATCCGAACCATGTGTTATGCTACTGCTCCATGACAAGGATGGCTAACACTTTACAGGCAGATCCAGACTTCTCCCTTTTATGCCAGACACACCCAGGTAAGATTCTGCAGGCACAGAATTTCGATTATTTTAAGATTTATTTATTTGAAAGGCAGAATTAGAGGTGGAGGGGGGGACAAAAAGAGATCTTCCATCTGTTGGTTCACTCCCCAAATGGCTGCAACAGCAGAGGCTGGGCCAGGCTGACACAGGAGCCTGGAACTCCATCTGGGTCTCCCATGTGGGTGGCAGGAGCCCCAGTGCTTTGGCCACTCAACACTGCTTTTCCAGGCACATTAGCAGGGAGCTAGATCAGAAGAACAGCCAAATTTGAACCAGTGCTCATATAGGATGCCACAGGTAGCAGTTGAACCCAATACAGCTCAGGCTTCTAATGTTATTCAAAACATCCATGGCCAACCTTCTTGGGAATGGGAATACCCAGTGCTCTGAAGGTGCTCAGCTCTTGGCCAATGAATTGTTAGCAGACGCCCTGCAAACAACAGCTTGAGATGTGCTGGCCTGGGTGGGGTCCCCCTCTCCCATGTGTGCTATTTCCCTAAGAAAACTTTCCCTCCAGTGGCTGCTCCCTGGGCCACAGTGGAATACACCTGAGGTGCCCCAGGTCACATACACACCTGAGGTAAGAGGCAGGTTCATTCACTCCAGCAGACTGGTATCTGGGAGAGAATAAATGGTGCTGCTCTAAGCCAATCTGGGTTGATAAACAGGACTCTCACCTGTGCACCCCCACCATGTCAAGAGGTTTTCCTCTCAGAATCCCCTTGACTTGCTTTGGGTGGTCGGTGCAAGGCTCAGCAGGTGTTGCTCTTCCTGCTACCAGGGAGGAACAGGGATAAAGATCTGCATCCAGTAGTCAGTCCCTCTGTGTTCCCCAGGGCCTGTGGCAGTCCAAGGAAAGTTGAATTCTTTCTGTCTGGCATTTTTTTTTTTTTGGACAGGCAGAGTGGACAGTGAGAGAGAGAGACAGAGAGAAAGTTCTTCCTTTTTACGTTGGTTCATCACCCAATGGTCGCTGCGGCTGGCGCACCGTGCTGATCCCAGAAAGCTGTACCTCCCAGCATGCCTGCCCTTCTGTGACCCTTTCCTCTGAAAACTAATGGGTTCATCTGACTCTGTCATAAGTGACAGAATGCTAGCTTAAAATCCAGGCCTTTTGAATGCTTGGGATATGCCCTCTTTTTTTTTTTTTAAAGATTTATTTATTTGAAAGAGTTACCCAGAGAGAGAAGGAAAGGCAGAGAGAGAGAGAGGTCTTCCATCTGTTGGTTCACTCCCTAATTGGCCACAACCGCCAGAGCTGTGCCAATCCAAAGCCAGGAGCCAGAAGCCAGGAGCATCTTCCAGGTGTCTCACATGGGTGCAGGGGCCCAGGCACTTGGGCCATCTTCTACTACTTTCTCAGACCATAGCAGAGAGCTGGATTGGAAGTGGAGCAGCCGGGACTTGAACTGGCATCCATATGGGCCCAGGACACACCCTCTTAAAACAGAGCTTAGGGCCCAGGGTTGTGGCTCATGGGTTCAGCCTGCAACACCAGAATCTCATGTCAAACTTCTGTTTTGAGTCCCAGTTGCTCCACTTCCAATCCAGTTCACTCCGTTGTACCTGGAAAAGCAGTGGTATATAGCTCAAGTGCTTAGGCCCATCCCACCCATATGGGAGACACAGATGGAGTTCTGGGCTCCTGGCTTTAGCATGGACTAGCCCCAGCCTGTTGTAGACATTTGGGGAATGAACCAGTGAATGAATGAATGATCTCTCTCTTTCTCTCTCTCTCTCTCTCTCTCTCTCTCTCTCTCTCTCTCTGTCACTCTGTCTATAAAATAAATAAATCTTAACCCAAAATAATCAGCTTCCATGATTACAGATGCCACCTGAAGGCACTCAGGTTAATAGCTTAACTGAGCTCCCAGAAAACCACCCACATCAACTCCCTGCCCTGTGAGAGCACAAGGCTGCACGTCCAACCCAGCTGAGTTTTCTTAGTCCATCAGTGGACTGCAACATGACGGACTCCAGGCACTGACCACTGAGTGAGCCCAGGCACCCCACATACTGTGAATGCTCATAATAAATGTGTGTTTTAAGCTGCTGCGTTTCAGAGCGGCTTGGTACATATCATTAGATAACTGGAGCAGGCCTTCCTGGAGGCTGTAACAAGTGGCCAACTTCAACATCCTAATTTTCTCCAAGACCCCTAATGCTACAGCTTGAAAGATAAGTGGTCTGAATATCAAAAACCAACAGGGGGCAATTGAGCAGTTAACGCACTGCAGCATAACCAGTAGTGTTAATCCTGCTGCTGGCAGTGGAGGCTTTCCTCTCATTACCCCTCTCCACACATAAGCTCAGTCAATGCCACATCAGTGTCCAGCACTGTCAACCTCTGCTCCCTGGAACCAGCTTCTGCATGTGGTTTCGTTCAGTTGGAAGGCAAAGAAACCTGTCTCACAAGGGTTGAAGTCATACAGAAAAATCCACTGATTCATGTAACTTACAAGAGCAGAATTAGGTATTTCTGGCTGCAGGAAGAACTTGATACTGGACATGCAAGACAGCACCTTTGGTTCCTCTCCATCTGTGCACACCTCAGTGCCACATGGTGGCCTCCCACTACCTTCAGACTTCCACTTAGGTCTTCAGCAGTTACAAGTTTCACAAAGCAGAACATGTGTCCCTTGTTTTAAATCCGAACCACAGCACTTCACCTCTGTGACCTTGGGCAAGTACTTAACTTCTCTGGTTCAAATTTTTTTCTTTAAAATGAGAACAGTAATGACCTCTACCCTACAGGGTTGTTTTCCTAAGTGAGGCAATATATATAAAGAACATGTGTACATATATATTTATTTATATATAGCATAATTCTACAAGAGTCACTGTTGTTTTTTGTAATCACAGTAATAGTAGTACCAGCAATGGATGCAATAGTGGATTTAACAATAGCAATGTTCTCTACTACTATTCAAGCACAGCAAAGAGAGTCCATGCCCCAGCTTTCTCTGGGATTCCTGAGCTCCCTACACAGTCCATGAACACAGAACAGGGACCTGAGGTAGGGAGTACTGATTGGCTCCAGGTGTTCGGAGCCCACAGCTGAAGCTGGTGTAGGGTGATTCCTGCAAGGCTGGGAAATGAGGGGCTCTCTCTCTCCGAAAGGGGATGGACTCCAGGAAGGCAACTGAGATTCCCTAAGAAGTGAAATTCTCAGTGCTCAGAAGTCCCCGGTGTCCTGCTGTGCTGAGCTGGGGACACCTCCCCAGCTGTCTCTGAACTCCACTCAGGTGAAAAAGCTACAAAGGTCTGACTAGGAAAAAGAGATTTTCTCATGACGAGTATGTGTGACAGCTGTCAAAGTTCCAAGTTGAGTCTGTCAGTCCTCTCAGAGTTGAGAGATCCTGGGAGGGAGTTTACCCCAACCTTGAAGCTAGCAGGATCCAATCCTTGAACTCCAGCTATATTTAAGTGGCTGAACCTAGCACAATCTAGCACATGGCATTTCAGAACCAATCAGTACTGGCTCAAGAATGTGGGTGGAAGAACTGAAAGGGAGAGGAAGAACCCCTATTAATTGTAAAATTTGATTTATTTATTTGAGAGAGAATCAGAGAGTGAGGGAGGGAGAGAAAGAAAGTTTCCATTGGCTAGTTCACTCCCCAAAGGCCCACAAAAGCCAGGGCTGAGCCAGACTGGAGCCAGAACTCAGAAGCCTGGGACTCAGCCCAGATCTCCCACAAAGGTGCAGGGAACCAACTAGTTGAGCCATCATCTGCTGTCTCTCCACCCACCTCAACCCACAAGGTCTGCAGTGAGCTGGAACTGCTTGTTAAGAGTCAGAAATCAAACCCAAGTACTTTGACATGGGATGCAGGCATCTTTACTGGTATCTTAACCAGAGTCTTAACTGCTAAAGCCAAATACCCACCTCTCCCCCTGCCCCCATTATTTTCGTGGCTATGAAGTTATTATACAAATCTACTGAGAGTCTTGTTACCATATAAGAGATCCTGCCTAAGAATGGAAAAGCAAACAAGAAAGAAAATGGAGTGAGAAAGTAGACATGGAGAGAAACTAAGCGCTGAAGACCTCACTTAATCCTGTATATCTAGCTTTTTTTTTTTTTTTGAGTATTCAGCTTTAGGTGTCAAAATTTGCTTTTGCTTAAGTTGTCTTGCATTCAGATTATATACTTTTTAAAGATTTATGTATTTGAAAAGTGGAGTGACAGAGAGGGAGAGACATACAGAGAAAGACATCATCCACCTGTTGGGTTCATTCCCCAAATGGTCCCAATAGCCAGGGCTGGGCCAGGCCAAAGTCACGAGCCAGGAACTCCCATGTGGGTGGCCTGGCCCCAAGTCCCAGAGCAGCTGGGACTCAAACTGGGGCTCCTACATGGGATGCTGGTGTTGCAGACAGTGGTTTAATCCATTGTGCCACAACATTGGCCCAGGATTATATTTTTCTTAGCAAAAAGAGTTCTAATTTATTGTGATTTGTCAACAATATTTTGAAAGATTTTCTTGAAGTTTTCAAGAATTAAGATTCCCAAATGTGTCAGTCATTTGCCTACTGTTTCTCAGCCCTGGAACCACTCCCCACCCACCTCCCCGTGCTGTGTGATTCTAGAACAGGTAGTTCAAAAACTACATTGCCCAGAATCCCTTGTCACTCCTTCCTGTTAGTTTTGGGCCAACACTGAGTCATGGGAAGGACACTAGAAATAGGTAAAGGAAAGAAAGGACTCTTCCTGCTTCCAGTTCTGGCACCTGGAGCAGAGCTGTGGCTGTTACTCCAGCATCTTTTAGCACTCTCAGCTCACCATCAGAGGCGCCATCAGCAGCGGCAGGTTCCCCCTTAGTGGCCGAAGCACTGACATGGGGATGCCCCGGCAGCAGGCAACCCCCTGCACAGCTCAAGTGGTGATGCTGCGGGTAACAGCAAAGTCCTCGTGACTTCTCCTTCAGATCTCTGTGCCTAGACTCATGAGATAAATCAATGCTTTTTCATTAAACCACTGGGGGGAGGACAGGCATGTTCTACAGCACTATTGTGGTAGTAATTCCTTGTTAACAACCTACTACACCAAAACCATTCCTGTCCACAGGGTCCCAGTGGGAACTGGACAGCTTAATGATCTCCAATGAGGTCATGAATGCTGACACATACATGGTTCACCTGAAACCAACCAGGCAGTTATGCCTGGGTGACCAGTCCCCAACCTGCAAATTCTCTGAGGTACTTCCCCAAGGAGACACATGGTTGTCTTCAAACAAAGATACACTTATCTTGATATCACTATTACTCCATCCCCACCCCAGCTAACTAGAAATACTTTGGCTTGACCTATTTTGCCATATGTAGAACAAGAATAGTACCATATGTAGCTATTGTTACTATGTTAATTCCAGTCTTACCTACTGTTCTACTTATTTACTGCTACACAACAACCCCCTCAAAGTTCAGTGGCACAGAACATCATTTTATTATTCTCTCAGATTCAGTGGGTCAGAAATCTGGGTTGGGCAGATCAAGGATGGTTCATACCCACTCCACAAGGTTTAGGTGCCCAGCCAGTAAGACTTGAATGCATGGACTTGTTACAAATGGCTTGGCTAGATTTATCTCAAAGGTGTAGAAGGTGGGCTCAGGGTACCTAAATGTGACCTCTCCATTACAACACCGTAAGGTAGTCAGACTTAGCACACAGAGGCTCAGGGTTCCAGGGGTGAGAATTCCAGAAAACCAGGCAGAAGCTGCTTGGCTCCCTTGATCTAGCCTCAGAAGTCACACAGCATCCCTTGTGCCCTGCTCTCTTGGTGAAGTAGTCACAAACCCATCCACATTCAACAGGATGGGACATAGTGTTGGAAAACTGTCAAAGAATATGCAGCCCTATTGTGAAACCCAACATCCACAACATCCAGTACTCACTCGGAAAACGGTGTACAACTGAAGTTCTTCCTCCTTTCTTAAAAGGCATGTGTCTCCTGTATCATCAATACCGCAAAACTCCTGCACTAGCTGTGGCCCCAGGAGTCATGAGCATAACCTACGGAAGACAAAGAACTCTTTGATTCCCCCATTCGTGGGTAGTTTATCACCCTCTGAAAATGCAGTCGTAGGCAATGTAACTGTCAAGCCTGTATGTGAACTCACAAATGTTTAAGATAGCTAAGATGATTCTCCACATGGTATGTATCATCTTTTAAAATCTGTTTTGGGCTTAGTTCCTTACATGCCCCACATGAAACCCATCTCACAGTATGGAGCAAGGTCATCCAGATGAGATGGATGGAATGAGGCCTCTGAAAATAATCAACCATTAACACTAATTGAGAGACACTGGTCCTCAGGGTGTGTGTGTGTGTGTGTGTGTGTGAGTGTGTAGCTATTATGACCAACAATGAGGCCTTCGGGCCTTTTGTCACCTACAGAAATCACCCATCAGTTTTAGAAAAAGGTCCACAGATGAACCTCTGAAGCAGCTGGGTATTCCTGCTAAAGAGACTGCTTGGGTCCAGACAGATATGTCTTTCATCATGTCCACAGTCACACTGGAGAATGAAATGAACATCAAACTCCCCTAAACTCACACACTGAATGTGCAAATAAGAAGAATCCCAGCACCAGCTATCTAGCTCTGCTTCCATCACAAATGGAAGCCATAAATGGGTTCTGCAATAAGAGAGGCTGTGGGTTGTCACCAAGTGGCCCCATCCACAGATAAAGGAATGTGGGCTAGTGAAGGCTGTCCCCAGGCACAAAGGGCTTGCACATAAAGGCTGAGGCATGCTGGAATACCTGCTGACTATAGCCCTGTTCCTATTAACCTGAGCTCATAATACTATTGACCATCTCAATTCTCACAGGCTTCAAGCCCTCTGACATGGTCATTGTAAAATCTGCAGTATCTTTTGATACTGACTTTTCCTCTAAAATTCAGTTACTTTCACACCACATGACCATTGCTGTGGATGCCCTTCCAGAACACTGTGCTCTGCAGCTTCCCATGACAGCCACCTTGGTCCAAACTCCTTGCTTCCTACCCTTCCTTAGCATCCATTGTCAACCATGATCTTCTGCATGTCCCTCTGCCCAGGACAGCTGAGCTCCAGGGGTCCAGTCCCCAGATATGGCAACATTACTACTCCCCACCCTAAACAGGTACAACCACCTGTTTCTGGATTAACCCCGCACGGACCCTGAATATACACTCACTCCACTGCCCGCAAATAGAGGACAAGTTACAGCCCAAGCTGGGTCATCTTCCTTCCTCACCTCTCTGCAGGTACTGTCACTCCTGCCCTTGTCTAGACTAATCCTGCACATCCTGCCTCAAAGACAAGTCCCTTATGTTTACAGTCTGTCGAGGACCTGCCAATACAGTGAAGAGGTGTCAGAGTTCACCTACAATGAGAATCAATCTCTCAAAGAGAAGCAAAGCAGAGGGAGCATCAAAGGGTGAGGCTCAGTTCGAAAGCTCTTCAGAGCTAAAGGAAGATCAAACGATGGAGTTGACGCTGCTGGCAGAGGTGGCATGGGATGACTGGTGCAAAGAGATTTTGCCACAAAAACTGAATGCCAGCCTCCTTCTTTACTGTGAAATCCTCAATACAACAAAATGAGCTTCTTTTGGGGCCAAAAACAGTGGATCTCAAACCTTAAAGTGCCTCAGAATTTCACTGGGATCCACTCCCAGGGTTTCTGATTCAACAGGTCTGGGGTACAGACTGAGATCTCCATCTCTTGCAAGTTCCCATGTGACGCTGATGTTGTTGGTCCTGGGAACACGTTTTGAGAATATTGTATAGAGGCTTGACCTCTGAAGAAAGGGGACTTGGTCTCTAGAGAAAGGGGAGACTGTGGGTTAAGAGGAGGAAACTGCATAGAATTCTCCTGAGAAGAGGTCACGGTGCCCTGAAACACTGTTGGATGCAAAAGAGAAACCCATCTTCCATGGCACCTGCTTGTGGGAAAAGGACTGGAGGTGGGGTAATTTCCCCTCAAGCCATCTAGCCAAGGGAGACACCTGAAGACCCTGAGAACTCAGATACTGGTGCAAAGTGCTTGGCCATCTTCAGCTTCCAAAGCAGGAATAGTGGCTCAGCAGCTTTGCTCAGAAGGCATAGGACAAAGGGCTTTGCATTTTTCCCAGGCCCAGTGAAACGGCATTGAGTTCACATTAGTACCATTTGCCCTGGAGTCAAGGTCAGATGCTGCATTCTGTGTGGCTCCCCTGTGTATTTTCACAGCAATACGAAGCACTTCTTTAAGGCTGGTATTCCAGCAGGCTGCTCCTTTTCTTCCTCTAAGATAAGGGAGGGATGCCTTGTGGATGATCGTGGATACTAAAGCACACAGCTAGTTACTTCCCAACAGTGACTCTTTAGTGTAACAAAATGAGCTTTCCTACAACCAGCCACAGCCTTGCCCCCAGCCTCCTGTGCCTTAATGGACACAAAGCCCAGCGGGAGAGGCGCAGTTACAAAGACAATGGAAGTTGATGCTCAGAGAAATATTAGTTACAGTGAAAACAAGCCTGGCAATTTTCCCTGAAAGCAAGCAAGCCTGGCCATCTGAAGTATATGTGTAAGGGGCTGGTGGTTGGAATTATATAAAGTATACAGTGCAGGATGATATTGGGAGGTTCAATGAAGAAAAAGTTCCTTGATAAAAATGGAGGCACCAACCTCTCTTTCCTAGTGTCTTAGAATCTCAGATTGCTTTCTGTGCTTGATTATTTAAAAGATAACAGTTGGGGCCGGCACTGTGGTATACCTGGTAAAGCCGCTGCCTGCGGTGTTGGCATCCCATATGGATGCAAGTTCGAGTCCCAGCTGCTCCATTTCCAATCCAGCTCTCTGCTACGGCCTGAGAAAACAGTAGAAGATGGCCCAATTCCTTGGGCCCCTGTACCTGCCTGGGAAACTGGAAAGAAGCACCTGGCTCCTGGCTTCAAATCAGTGCAGCTCTGGCTGCTGCGGCCAACTGGGGAGAAAATCAGCAGAGAGAAGACCTCTATCTCTGCCTCTCCTTCTCTAACTCTGACTTTCAAATAAATAAATAAATAAATAAACAAATAAAAGATAACTGCTGAATAGCCCATTTCAGGCAATTAGCTTTTAAAAAGGTTTACATATTTGAAAGGCAGAGTGACAGCATGAGAAAGAGTTAACAGCGTCAGCAAGAGTGAGAGCAAGATCTTCCATCTGCTGTCTCACTCCTCAAATGGCCAGGCTGAAGCTGGGAGCATGGAACTCCATCCAAGTCTCCAACATGGATGGCGGAGGACTCGAGTACTTGAGTCATCATTCTCTGACTTCCCAGGCGTGAAAGCAGGGAGCTGAATTGGAAGCAGAGTAGCTGGAATGCAAATGAATATTCCAATATGAGATGTCCACATTACAATCATTAAACCACTGGCCACAATGCTGGCCCAGTTCTATTTTTACCACACATCTTCAAAGTTCTGTAACGGATGCTCCTAATACAGAAATGAAAGCAAGTGGTTCCTGCCCTCGAGTGTCACTTGTCCATCACTCAGATATGGACTGTCCTGCAGTCCAGCTTTCATGGTTGAGAGGACAGTGTTACATCCAAGAGCACAGGCTGAGATGTCACAAACACCAGGTGTAAACCCATAACTCTGCAGATCCCTTGGCTATGAACGATGTGATTGGTGTCACCAGATCACATTTACCCCTCCTTTGAAATAGGAGTAATAATTCCTCCCTACAGGCTGTTAAAGAATCGATGACAAAACGCTTGCGCAGCACTGAACTCCAGGAAGAAAACAAAGGGCCTTTTCTTTCTTGGCTCCTGTCCCTCAGGTGCCTGCCTGAGATGACAACTGAAACAGGGAGACAAGAAGCTGCAGGCCCTAGCTCCCACCTAGCTGCTTCCAAACAACCAACCTGAGTGCAATATTAAAGGGCTTAAGGGTTTCACTGACAAGGAAGCATGGATGCTGCACCAGTCTGAATTCTGAGTCTAGATCTGCTTTGAGAGCAGCAACCTGAGTGCAATATTAAAGGGCTTAAGGGTTTCACTGACAAGGAAGCATGGATGCTGCACCAGTCTGAATTCTGAGTCTAGATTGCTTTGAGAATTGTGTCCCCATTTCTCCCTTCTGGCCAGGACTCTGTTTTATCCCTCTCCCCTATGTCCACGATCCCCCATCCATTTTCCACTTGGTCACATGTGCTCTATGGACCTACTGGCCTACTCTTTCTCTTTTCCTTTCTTTTCAGATGAACCCTGCTCCTGTGGCCCCAGTAATGACTTGTGATTCACTCATTCACCTGTGACTTCTTGTTTGCCTCTTAATCTAATTAAACATATCCCAAGACACTTGAACAACTTGTTTGATCTCAGCCACAGAATAAAACAAGACCGGAGAGTGCTCTTGACTCTGATCAAATGAAACAGGGACATTCAGGTGATGGGGTGCACGGGTGAGCTCAAGGTAACACAGACCTCTGTGACTCCTTTCGTGTCTTGGTCCCAATCCCCATTCTAGAAAACAATGCCATCAATATAAACCTAGCTTACAAGGCATGGCTGCTCTATCTTTCCAAGGACACCTTCAAGTTTAAAATAGGCATTAGGGTGCACTTGCCAAGAAAAGCCCCAGGACTATGGCAGCCCGTGCAGACTGAGAGGCCATGCACCAGGTATGGGGCCTAGGAGGGATGTAGGAGCTTGAGTTGGGGCTAAAGCCGGGGGTGTGGGCTGGAACCACTAGGGTGAGTGTGCTGTGTGGCAAGGAAGGGGAAGGTGGGATCCACGTGGCTGGCCAAGGGAGGAAGCAGAGGTGCAGGGCTCCTTCGGTAAGTAAAGGGAGTAGAAGTGGACCCTCAGGTGATGTGGCAGGATTGGGGAGCAGAGATGCCTGGATGTGGATGGGGCTTACAGAAGGGAGGGGACCAGAGAAGCCATTTGGGAAGCAGACCCAAAAATAGGTACAAGGGCCTACTGCGAATGGGGGCAGGGAAGGGGGCTGAGGAGGTAGAAAAGAAGGGAAACAGAGATGCCAGTCATATATTGAAA